GAAGTGATAAAATTCGCAGGGGCTGGGGAGAGGAAGAAACTGGAGGCTACTGTTTAGTGGGGGACAGATGTTCAGTTTTGCAAGATGGAAGAACTGGAGATGGTGGTGGTGTTGCCTGAACAACATGGGGATGTATTTAATGCCACTGAGCTGCACACTTAGAAATTGTTGTAACATTTATGTTCTGTGTTACATATATGTGGCTTATATCCAGCCCAATGTTTCTTTTTTTTAAATATTTATTTATTTGAAAGGTAGAGTTTCAGAGGCAGAGAGAGAGAGAGAGAGGTCTTCCATCCTCTGGTCTACTCCCCAAATGGCTGCAACTGCTGGAGCTGGGCCCATCTAAAGCCAGGAGCCAGGAGTTTCTTCCAGGTCTCCCACGCGGGTGCAGGGGCCCAAGAACTTGAGCCATCCCCTACTGCTTTCCCAGGCCATAGGAGAGAGCTGGATCAGAAGTGGAGCAGCCAGGACTTGAACCAGTGCCTATATGGGATGCTGGCACTGCAGGCACCTGCTACACCATAGCACTGGCCACCAGTCCAGTGTTTCTTAAGCTTTTTTACATCATGGATCCCCCAGTGAATACCCTTTTTAAGCATTTTTCCCCCTAATCACTACTACCCAAGGAAATGTTGAAACCAGAGATAGGCCATCTGTTTGCATATGCACAGTATGTAGGTCTGCACATTATACATAAGATAATAAGAATTTTTTTAACCCTCCAAGAACCAGCAGCATTATCATTCCCGTAGAGAAGTGATATATATGCTGCAGGGACATGAGAGCAAAATCTTTGAGGGCAAAACACAGGATTCTTGACTATAGATATTAAAAGTACAGGTAGAGATCATAAATCATAGACTTGAAGAAAGCTATGTGCAAAAATAGCAAAAAAGCACTCATGTATTCATCCTTTCTCTTATTTAACAAGTATTTTCTGAGTGCCTCTATATGTAAGATGAGAACTAAGCAATAACACGGCCCTCACCCTTCCCATACTTTATAACCCAGAGGGAGAGGTAAATGTTAGAAGTCACACAGCGGCATCACTAAGAGTCTTCAAAGAGTGATGGTGAGATACATGACGGCCCAGGCAGGCGGTCGGCAGGGTGGGGTGGGGTGAAAGTGACAATTGAGCTGAGGTTGGAAGATAAAGAGAGTTTTTAGGCAGAGAGGAGAGGGAGCCTTTCCACTGACCGGGGACAGCCTGTGTTGTGGACCTGTGGCCAGTGCAAGCGTGACATCCACAAGAAACCAAAAGAAGTTGTGAGTGGCTGGAACACAGCAAGACAGGACAAAACAGGTGCAAAATGAAACAAGCCCAGGGTTTTTCAAGCCTGGCTCTAGTGATCAAAGATCTAGTGATCTTTGCTGTGAGAGGCTGTTCTATGCATTAAATGATATTTGGCAACACCCCTGGCCTCTACCTCTGTCAGGGGCGGGGATTGTCCAGGCTGTGGGCCATAAAAGGCCTGTGAAGTCATTTGGTCTGGCCCTGCTGAGGCAACTGTAAACAGGATTCAAAATTCAATAAGTCTACAGCAGTTTAATTTTTAAGTTGATAATTTTGTATGACCCACCAAAGATGTCATAATTAGGGCATATATATATAGTTGTGCCTAGATGCTACTCCCCACCACATGTCCTTAAGTTGTGACATTCAAAGTATCTCCACACCTGGCCAGATTTCTCTGGGGGATGTAAGCTCCCTCAGTTAGGAAGCACTGGACCAAAGAGACAGCTACAGGCCGGATCCTGCAGGCCTTGTTAAAAAGTGCTTTGTGGTATTCTATGAGCAATAGGAAGCCTTTCAGAATTTTTAAGGAGGCCTGGGATGACATAATCAGAAATGCATTTCTAGAAGATCCTCTGCCAACAGGGGGTGAGGTGGAGGGGATGTGGACCAGGCCAGAGGGGATGTGGACAAACCAGTTAGGAGGCCAGACCAGTTTAGACACTCCTAGAGGAGTCCCAGGGAAAGATAATAACAGCTTGGACGGGTGGTGGGTGGCAGAGATGGAAAGAAGTGGGTGGACGTTGAGAAATAGGAAGGAAACCCAGCAGGACTTGGTGATAGATTGGACATGTCGGGAAGGACTCTCACCAGAGCAAGTGGCCTAGCTTTGTAGGGGAAGATTGCACTGCTTGATCATGTTAAAGCTGAGGGCTGGGGCCAGGGCCAGTGCTGTGGTGTGGTGGGTAAGACCTCCACCTGCAGCGCCAGCATCCCATATGGGCGCTGGTTTGAGTCCTGGCTGCTCCACTTTCAATCCAGCTCCCTGCTAATTTTCCATGGGAAAGCAGTTGAAGATGACAATTCCTTGGGCCCCCGTACTCACATGGGAAACGCACGAGAAGCTCCTGGCTTCGGCTTGGCCCAGCCCTGGCTGTTGCGGCCATTTGGAGACTGAACCAACACACTCCCTCTCTTTCTGCCTCTGCTTCCCCTTCTCTGTAACTTTTTCAAATAAGTAAATAAATCTTTAAAAGAAAAAAAAAAGTTGAGGGACTCCTGAGTTGCCCCAGAAAGGATGCCACAGATGTCACTGGGTACCCGGGTCCTGAGCTCCAAGAAGTCTGAATTAGAGATAGGAATTGGGGAGCAGATGACACAGGGTGGTGGTCAACTGAGCTATGAACGCAGAAGTAAGATGGGAGGAAAAGGTGAGGTTCAAGGACTGGCACCTGAGGGGGCCCTGAGACAGAAACACATGCTTCAAGGTGTCGGGGAAGGAGAATGTGGAGTCGCAGCTGCCCCAGGGGGAGAGTGAGTCAGGCGGCACGGAGCACTGAGCTGTGTCGGTCCTCCGTGGAGCCCCTGGGGATGACAAAGAAGTCTGTGGGTGGAGAGCGAAAAAGGTCACCGTCGGCCTTGGCCAGAGTGGTCTGGAGGCTTGGCAGGGCCGGGGACGGGAGGGAATGAAGGGGTTAAGGAGAAGGAGGTGAGGAAATGGAGTAGAGGAAATGGGATAGCCTCTTGGAGGCAGACCACCCGGAGGCCAGACCGGAAGCTGAGCGAGGGTGCGAGTGTGCTTCTCTGTCCGTGGGGAAGAGTCTGGTGGAGAGGAACTGGATAACCGAGGAGGACATGGGTGCTTCCAAGGGGGAGGGGACGGGATTCAAAGCACTGGGAGGAAAGTGGCCCTGGGAAGGGCAGTGGCTCAGTCCTATTGTGAGGAGGGAGGGAGGGAGGGGGTGATGTGGGGAGCCTGGGGAGTCAGCATGGGAGCGGGGGCGGTCAGAGGGAGTGTGAAACCAGGAGATGGTCACGCGGAATGATTCCCAGGAGCAGGGGTCTGAGCTGCCTAAGAAAATGGTCATTGTGCTGGAAGCCCCTGGCCTCAGTGAGTGGCGCAGAGCTGCCAGGACAAAGCTCCCCAGGCTGAGTGGCTCCCAGCAAGCAATTTGCTCTCTCACAAGTCCAAATGCGAGGTGTCCTCAGAACCACGCTTCTTCCGAGGCTCGAGGCTCGGAGGAGATCCTGCCTTACCACACCCAGCTTCCGGGAGTTCCCGGAAGTCACTGACCCCGCTTCTGGGTGTTGCTGGCCGACTCTGGCATTCTCTGGCTTGTATATGCATCACCCTAGTCTCCACTGCTGTCTTCCTGTGGACTTCTTCCCTGCAGGCCTGTCTCCAATTGTCCCTGTGTTTTTTTTTTTTTTTTTTTTTTTTTTTTAAGATTTATTTACTTGAAAGGCAGAGTTACAGAGAGGCAGAGAGAGAGAGAGGGAGAGATCGGTTGGTCTTCCATCTGCTGGTTCACCCCCAAATGGCCGCAATGGCTGGAGCTGAGCTGATCTGAAGCCAGGAGCCAGGAGCTTCTTCCGGGTCTCCCACACAGGTACAGGGGCCCAGAGACTTGGGCCATCTTCTACTGCTTTCCCAGGCCATAGCAGAGAGCTGGATCAGAAGAAGAGCAGCCGGACTTGCACTGGCGCCCATGTGGGATGCTGGCACTGCAGATGGCAGCTTTACCCACTACTCCATGGCACTGGCCCCCAATTTTCCCTGTTTTTATAATACCAGGGGCAGGCATTTGGCTTAGTGGTTATGATGCTGCTTGGGACGTCACATCCTGTATTAGAGTGCCGGGCTTCAAGTCCCAGCTCTTCTTCGGATCCCAGCTTCCTGCTAGTGCACACCCTGGGGGGCCGCATATGATGGCTCAAGTCGTTAGGTCCCTGCCACCCACACAGGGGACCCAGACTGCATTCCCTGCTCCTGGCCTTGGCTTATCCCAGCACCTGCTGTTGCAGGCATTTGGGGGAATGAACCAGTGGATGCAGCATTCTCTCTCTCTCATAAAAACTCAAAATCAAAATACCAGTCATTGGATTAGGGCTCACCGAAATCCAGTCTGACCTAATTTTAAGTTTCTTGCATCTGTGAAAACCCCATTTGCAAACAAGAGCTCATTCACAAGTTCTAAGAAGATGTGGATTTGTTGGGTGTGTGTGTGTGTGTGTGTGTGTGTGTCACCATTCAACCTGGTACATTAGTGAGACTCAGACATTGCTGATGCATATCAGAAGTACTTAGAGGAAGGAAATGAAAATGTTCACAGCTGAAGTCTGCGGACCCTACGTGCCTCACCTGCGTAATGTCACATCCCCCGCGACAGCTGTGGTAGTGTACATGGTCTCTGTTGTTCCCATGATACAGGCAAGGAAACGGGGGTACAGCCAGGACCTGAACCCAGGCACTTTAACTCCAGAGACCCCCTTTAAGACTAGGCTGGCCTGGCTGCCTTTTCCCAGTGACTTATAATTCATCAGAATAAGAACCAATCCTCTGTAGCTACCTACTTCAGGAAGTACGTCTCCCACCAACATTCTTTGTCCTTGTATTTTCTCTGTACGTGGCTTTCCAAGTACTTGCAGCTCCACACTGACCGCCAGATGTCTGGGGTCAGACGCCCCCTGCCTGGGCCTTTGGGGCTGGTGGATCATAGCCCTCCTTTTCCAGTAACTCCTGGACTGGCTTTTCTTTCCCCAGGCCCACAGCACCCAATTCGGGGAGTTCTCTGAAGTGGAGGACCAGGATGACTATTACAGCATGGCTGCTGGCTGCATCCACAGCCAGGACCAGCACGGGGTGTACGTCATGTATGATGAAGCCCTGAGTGACCTGCAGGGGCTGGAGGCTGAGCTGCTGCTTGTGGCCAGCCATTACATCCAGAAAGAAAAAGGTGAGAAGTCGGATTTTAGAAAGTCATCTGGGCAGGCAGACTGAAACCACGGAGGGTTCCACAGAGCACTCCCCACCCCAGCGTATGACATATATCCAATAGTATCTAAAAACTCAACAAAGCACACTCCACTACCAGCAGCACACACTCACTCTAGGAAAGATGCGGTTCTGTCTGCAGCTCCAGCTGCCTGCTGCCAGAGGAGACTGTGAGTACCCCCTCAGGCTGCACTGTGATTCTTGCTGGTGTGCAGACTCTGATGCCCCAGGGACCTCTCTATGTCCCCCACTGGGTGCAGGGTCCTTAGGGGAGCAAAGCAAGCAAGTGAAATGAGGGACTTTTCTCTAAGCAGCTGACCTTGAGGAAACTGACCCTGAGAGCACAGACATCCCTGGGTTCATAACGGCAAGTGCCCACCACACGAGCAGATCTGGATAGGACAGTGCCAGACCAGCCCGCAGGACAGGAGTATTGTGCAGGGGACTCTGGTAACCTCTACTCTGTGTTCTTCCTTTGGACACCAGCATCAGAAATTTCCAATTTTAGAAATAGATGAGGTAAGAGTTTTTTTTTTTTTTTGGCAGGGGAACATGATAGCATTCAACTTACATTTGGAAAGAACTTAGAATTTCTAGACACATTGCAACACCTCAAGGGAAATTTAGCAAGAGTTTGAGCTATGGTGAAATATATGCAGACTGTAATTAGGGATAATTCATGTTCATATTGTTATAAAACACTTATCAAAGGGTTTAGACTAAGCAACTTTCCCGGTCCCAGACAATTAATTTAATATAGGATGGGACTCTTTGTCCTGTCTTTGCCACAATCATTGCTATCTGAATCATGGGATACAGTGATGGCACCCCACATTCTGGGGCATTTAATTTCAGTCACTAGCTTTTATTGTTATTGGTGACCCTACACACTAATGCATCATTGCTGTCTGTGCTAATTTATTATGCAACTGTTTCTAGCTGCAGAGAATTTAATTTGATTGAAACACTTAGTCACTTAGCCACACGGGCGTCTTTCAGTGCAGCTGGTCAGACCCTAGTCGTCCACTGTGACTTGATTTCTCGTCTGCTGAGAGAGCAGGTCCTGGTTAGAGTGTTGCCCTCACTTAGTGTCCATCGGATGTGTGGTAATCACTGAACTCACATCTCTTACTTCCTGCTATTTCATCCTCAATAGGCCACTGAAAAATTTAAAACAATAGCAATACTGGTACTCAAAACTAATATTAATATAGTAGAAAAATACTTCAGATAACAACACATAATAATCTAATGAAAAAATATTTTTAAAGCTCATAGAAAATGTAGGTTATGTAAAAACTAGGCATGGTTGTCAGAATTCCAATTTTAATTCCATTTTTCCACCACCTTTTGGAAGTACAATGTATTTCAGCTGAATAATCATGGTGATTACCTTTATTAAGTTAGCAACTAGCACATTTAAGAAATATCCTGGAAACAGCTCTGAAAAAATTTGACTTAGCTAATATTAATGGAACTACAAGGTTAAATTGGATTTATTGTTAAACCACCAGGGGTCTGTTTTTAGAAAAGGAGACATTTATGCTTTGCCTGAATATTATGGGTTTGAAGACATTTTAGCATCGATTTCACGTTAACTGAATTTTGGTTTCATGTCTAAAATTAGTCTTTCAGACTCAAATTAGAAATGAAAACAAAAACTTGGGTTGCCTTGGAAGTCTTCAGGTCTCAAGGCACTGAGGGCTTCTTCGGGCCTCTTTGTAGAGAGTTCCAAGGCCGGGTGTTAGGAGTCCCAGTGACTGGTTCGGTGTTTGCATCCCGAACGTGGAGCTGAAAATCCGAGGGGCCCATTTCCAAGGGGAGCAGCTTTGGTGAGAGGCCTGTGTCTGATCACTTCCACCTGCTCCCCCTTCTCCCCAGGTCACAAAGAGGGCAGTGAGGTGGAAAGTGGCCAGCACTGGGGATGGGCCCACGCGAGTGTGGACAGGTTTGCAGTGCTGTATCACCTGTGGACTTGGGAAGCCACTCTTCTGGAAAACAAGCGCCAGGTATTTTTTTTTAAATTAAAAAAGATTTATTTATTTATTCGAAAGGCAGAATGACAGAGAGAGAAAGACAAAGACAGAGAGGGAGAGAAATATCTCCCATCTGTTCATTCAAGACCAAAATGGCCATGATGGGCAGGGTGTGGCCAGGCCAAAGGCAGAAGCCTGGAACTCCATCCAGGTCTCCCACATGGGTGCTCCAGGTGTTTTTCATTAGAAGGCACAACACCTGTTAAAAACCAGTCTTAAAAACAAAGCCCGATAGTAATTGCTGTTGTTAAACCCAGTGGGAGCTTCAGGTCAGCTGTCAACAACTGAATACTTATTTTATTTCAATCATCTCAGCAAATTATGAGGACGTGAGTAGCAAGTTTTCCTCCCTGTGATTCTGCCTCACACACACACACACACACACAAATACAACGTGAAGGATGCACCTTTATCTTATGGTGTAACCTGTGAGATTGCTGTACAGTTTAGGCCTTTCTCATAAGATGTGTGCTTTAAAAAAAAAAAAAGATTTATTTATTTATTTGCAAACCAGAGTTACACAGAGAGAGGAGAGGCAGAGAGAGCATTTTCCATCCTATGGTTCACTCCCCAGATGGCTGCAACGGCTGGAACTGTGCTGATCCGAAGCCAGGAGCCAGGAGCTTTTTCCAGGTCTCCCACATGGGTGCAGGGGCCCCAGGACCTGGGCCATCTTCTACCACTTTCACAGGCTGTAGCAGAGAGCTGGATGGGAAGTGGAGCAGCTGGGAGTAGAACTGGCGCCCATATGGGATGCTGGCGCTCCAGGCCAGGGCATTAACCCACTGCACCACAGCAGTGGCCCCATGTGTGCTTTTAGAGAGGAGGGAGGATGGTTCCAAACGTGCCCATGGTCTAATCATAAGGACCAGCCTCACTTTGCAAGATGCAAGCTGACTGACCTGTTCGTGGCCTTTAGAAATACATGCGACGTGTGCGTGGGGGAAAGGAGTTGGACAAAGGGTGCTGAGTGCAGTGAATTACAAGGGATGCGTTTAAAGCCAGGAGGCAGGAAGTTACTAAATCATCGTAGCATCAGGAATGGCTCATGGTTCAGTAATAAATGCAGCACTACAGGTGTACTGCCCTTTGTTTGTGTGCTTAGGATGGATTGTTGGCCTCTCTGATGATCACCCGATGTTAGGAATTTCTCTATCAAGCACGAGTTTGTATCCTACAATGTGCCTTGGCATTAGGCACATGTGAATAAGAGAAGACTTAAGGAATTTTATAGCTTATGAAAGTTGATCCAATCTCTCAGCAAAAATTGCAACCCAGTGGCTAACAGTTTGTAACTGAGGCACATTTGAGGACCATGGGGAACATAGCAGAGAGAGGGGACACAAGGCACTAGAGGTAGAGGTGCAGGTTTGTAGTTGACGGGCAGGCCGTGGAACAAGAAAGGGTGGTGGAGTAGACTGGAGTAAAGCTAAGGAGGCATAGTCTTGTGAGCGCCAGCCCAGAGCTGTAATTGAGAGGGGGTGTTTACTAGTGTGGAACGGCATGAAACGTAGCCCATGCAGTGGGGTCAGCCCTCAGGCCCCACAGGGCAGCCTCTGGGGTCTTTCCGGAGAGCACCAGGGCTGGGGGCCAGAGTGCAGCACCCTGCAATGTGGTCAGAAGATGCGGAAGTGGAAGTGTTTTCTCTGAATGGCTGTTCTGGTAGAATATCCAGCTTACCGTTTTGTGTCCTCTCATGGAGATGTAGGTCACTTGATTATTGTAAAAATAACTGGCTGGCCCCCAAAAAGTACGTGCCTGAAGCTCAAAAAAAAAAAAAAAAAAAAAGTTCCTCTTTCCAAAGATAACTGGTCTCTACCAGATGTGTCTGCAACCCTGATCTGCCGGTTAAAAGCCTGTTTTGATCAACTAAGTAAAGCAGAGTTTTTAGACCCACAATGCACTCACCAGTAAGGCTGGGTTGGGTGGAAAGGAAACAAAATCCCTGGGTTACACAAGATTCTCGGTCCAGGCTTGAGTTTTAAATGCCACCCGCCTCTTCCTGTGCTGCCTTTCTGTCACTGCCTCTGGGAAGGCCTCGATGATCGTCAAGAGCAGAAGGGCAGAGAGGACTGGAAAACGAACCGGTTTCTCCACGCTTCGGTCCATGGTTCTGTCTGTGCGAAGCTATGAGGGGTGTCCACTAGGTCCTTCTGTGGTTAATGAAACTGCTTTAACTGGAAGCATTCGTTGAGAATACCTCCCTCCTTTCTATCCTGAGAATAAGTTTCCTAAAGCAACTGAGCTGTTTGTGCCAAAGCTGTAAAGTCTGGCCTTCAAGTCAGAAACTGTCAAAAGAGCCCATTTTTAATGGACACACCAGATTTCTACCCAAAGCACAATTGATTTCCCCCAGACCCAAGTCTGCTGCCAAGTTTTCTCAGCTGTTTTTGATTGTTAAATATATTGGACTCGCTATAGTTAAGAATTGCTTAAACATACTCCGTCCCTTCAAATCTTCCAAACAATCACATTATGTATGAAAGCTCATAAAATTAGAACGGGTGTGAACTGTGGTGGATTAAGAGACTCAGAGAAGCCAGACATGAGCCTCACCTGAATGAACACGGCACCTTTTGCCGGTTCTCTCCACAGACACAAAAGATACATTGTTGCTCATTTTCATGTGTATTCTTTTGAAAAGCAAATATACAGTGACAGTTTATGTCTAGCATAGATTTTCTGTTTTGTGTTTTCATTCACTCTAAAATATGATTTTAAAAAGTTTTTAAGTCCCGGTGTGGCAGGGGCGGGGGAGGGGCTGGAATGTTAGTGATAAAAGTAATATAAACGCAGCAGGGTTTGGGATTATTCATTTAGTCTGTTTTCTCAATATATCATCCTTCCAACAGTGTGTACCCCAGGTAATTTTGCGGGAGAGCTGGCCCTTGACACACACAGGTGGCATCTGACAGGTTAGGAAGACATCTTGGATAAACACCAGCCCAGAGGTTAAAGGAAATGGGCCAGTTAGCAAACAGATAATAAATAGAACCCAGGAGGTGGAAAGAACCCAGTCCCACCCCTGCTGGGAAAGCATTCGTAATAAAATCATGCAAAGGCCCACCTAGGAGCACAAAGCTCCAGAAAGCCTGCTCTGCTTAAGCAGAGAGCCACGGTTTCCTTCTTAGCAGCTCCCTAGGTCAAATATGGCCACGGTTTCCTTCTTAGCAGCTCCCTAGGTCAAATATGGCCACGGTTTCCTTCTTAGCAGCTCCCTAGGTCAAATATTGCAATATCCAGCACACACTTAATTGAAAAAGAATTTCTTTTACCTGAAACTCAAATTTGACTGGATGCCCCGTGTTTTCATTCGTGCAGGCTGACACCTGTCACCTGTCAGCAATAGTGAGCATGGCCACTGAACCTGGGCCTCGGCACTGTGGCAGGCTGGAACCAGCGAGAACCTTCCTCACTCACTCCCTGTGACCTTCCCCTGCCAAAGGACCAAACAATTGGGCCCTTTGTACGGAAACAGGTCAAGGATGTATCAACGCTCTTAGCCAGATCCGGGGATTGCTCTGGCCCAGCCAAAAAGGTTCAAGTTAGCCCAGAATGAATTAGGAAAGTAATTGTTCCCTTCCTAATCTCTCCCTAGAGCCACTTCTTATCCCATCCATTCATTCCTGCCTTATCTTCTGCTATTTAATAATTGGACTTAATTCTAGAGCTTGGCAGGTGGAACAAGGCCTCAGAACACCCTGCTTGTTTCATTTTCCCCAGAGCTCCCTTAAAGAAATGGGATCCCCGCCTTCCGCCTCCACAGTTGGACCCCTTGCACTCATGTAGGGACCAGGGTGGAGTTCTAGGTTCCTGTCTTCATCCTGGCCCAGCCCTGGGGAGTGAACCAGTGACTGCAAGAGCTCTCTCTCTCTTTCCTCTCTCTCTTTTTCTCTCTCTCTCTCTGTCTCTCAGTTACTGTGCCTTTTAAAGAAAGAAACCTTAACAAATTATTATGAATAGTGGTCCTCAGGTCTCACCAGACTGTCAAAGGACCCTTGACTTAGGTCAAGAATGGCGGATTTGGATGGCCCGTGGCGCTGTGGGCCTGAGGTGGTCTGTTGGCTGCTGCAGGCTACTCAGGTTTCAAAAGCCTGGCACCCTGGGAGTCTGTTGTCGGTGTCTTCATTTCCTCCTGCTGCTTTTCCTGCCACGGGGTCCTTTGCTCCCCTGTGCCTGTGTGCATTGTTGCCTGCATTCAAGTGGCACTTCCTCCTTCCCACTCTTTTTCCTGGCACTGCTGTCTTGCTCCATGGACTCTCCCCACAATGCGAGGGGCTCTCTTATCTTTTTTTAGGAAGTTCCTTTGTTTGTTAAGCGGAGGCCCGACTTCCTGGCCTTGAACCACCAGGACCAGCTTCCCAGGAAACAAGTGCGCTCTTTCTCTAGGGAGGCTGGGTTCCCAGGGTGGTTGGAGTGGCAACCTCAGCACTTTCCTGGCAGCCACAGCATGGCCGAGCCTGCAGACGCCTTTCCCAACAAGAGCGAAGCCTCTGGAAAGGAAGCAGCCGGCCAGGGAAGACCCCTGAGGGAGCGATGTCCCGGGGACAGTTCTGCGGAGGAGGCCTGTTAGATCGGCCAAGGAGAGAATGGAGTTGTGGAACCGGGAGAGGTCAAAGGTTAGGAGCTTCCAGGCAGGACCTATTCAGGTGCTAAGGTACTCAGGGTCTAGGAGCTTTTCAGGTACTAATTTTTTTTTCAGGTACTTTTGAAAATATTTGAGATCTGAGCCGGCGCCGCGGCTCACTTGGCTAATCCTCCGCCTAGCGGCGCCGGCACACCGGGTTCTAGTCCCGGTTGGGGCACCAGATTCTGTCCCGGTTGCCCCTCTTCCAGGCCAGCTCTCTGCTGTGGCCAGGGAGTGCAGTGGAGGATAGCCCAAGTGCTTGAACCCACATGGGAGACCAGGAGAAGTACCTGGCTCCTGGCTCCTGCCATCGGATCAGCGCAGTGTGCCAGCCGCAGCGCGCCGGCCGCGGCGGCCATTGGAGGGTGAACCAACGGCAAAGGAAGACCTTTCTCTCTGTCTCTCTCTCTCACTGTCCACTCTGCCTGTCAAAAAATAAAAAAAAAATAAAAAAAATAAAAAAAAATAAAATATTTGAGATCTGAAAACAAAACATGCCTGACTCTAAAATATGAAAATACAAGATAGGTGACAATATATCTTAATCGCATGTCTATACAATGTAAACACTTCAGCTGAGCACTTAAAAACATTTTACTGGGGCCGGCACTGTGGCATCTTCAGCACCACATGGGCGCTGGTTCAAGTCCTGGCTGCTCCACTTCTGATCCAGCTTTCTGCTATGACCTGGGAGAGCAGTAGAAGATAGCTTAAGTCTTTGGGTCCCTGCACCCACATGGGAGACCTGGAAGAAGCTCCTGGCTCCTGGCTCCTGGCTTTGGATTAGCCCAGCTCCGGCCGTTGCAGCCATTTGGGGAGTGAACTAGTGGATAACCCCCCCCCCCCCAATTTTCTCTGTAACTCTACCTTTCACATAAATGAATCTTTTTTTAAAAAAAGTTTGCTCAAATTTCACCTACATAGCAATGATCAGGGCAGTAGAATGGAGGGTGAGGATGGCAGGTCCTCCTTCAGACAAAGTGGTGCACCCCAGCCCAGGCTCCTCTGGGAAGGGCCTGGCACACAGGGCTCACAGAGGCACCAAGTGTGCAGAGATCTAGCAGGGCTCCTGTGGCAGTGGCAGTCACATCACTTTGACAACCCGAAGAAAGCTTCCAGACACTAGCAGTGGAAGGGGTCCCTTTTAATCCTGCTTTTACAGTGGTCTGTGAGCTGAAGGGATTTCTGTTCCATGCGTGAACTCTGTTTGTGTGTGGTTGGTCATGAGAATCAGAAAAGGCTCCCCAGAGATCACAGAGTTGAAATCCTAAGCTGGGACCCTGCTGCTATAGGCAGGCAGATAGGATTAAATCAGATTTGTGAACTGGAGACCATGCCTTCACCCTGCCCCCTGTGTGATCTCGTACCCTTATCTGATCTTACCTGCACGGAACCATGCCCCTTTGGAAGTAAATAAAAGGGTGGAGCACAGTGGGCCCCTCCCTTGTTGCCCTGCAGCCCCCTGGGCAAATGCTTAAAAAGAATGGTCAGAAATGGGGCCCAGGATGTGGAAGATGGGAGGAGACTCGAGAGGGAAAAACACAGAGGAGGGTTCTTGGAGAAAGGTGTTAGAGTTAAATACATTTGGTGAAAGGCCTTTGAATGTGCTGCCCCATTGGCATATATAATTATGACACATGATTAATTATACAACACTTCTATTTGGGGTGATGGAAGGGGGAAAGAGGGGACAGAACCAGAAGCTTGGACTGCAGCGTGGTTCCTCTGTCTGCAAAGCCAGTGATTGATCTTTCCCTTGACCCGCTGGTTCTGCCTGGGGTTTCCTAACCACCCTGATTTGTACTGGTGATGCACTGGCCTGCACCAGGGCCACTACCCAGAGGCCCCAGGCTTTCCGAAGCATAGGATAGGACCTCCCTCCTCCTTTTGAGGAATCCTAGGGCCACCTCTGCCCTTCCCTGACCATCTTCCTGGCTTGCAGCTTCTTGATAGCTACTTCGAAGCGTACCAGCACACGCTGGATCCTCAAGAGAGGTTGGCCTTAGCTCAAGTGATGACTGACATCATGCACCGGCGCCCCAGGTTCGATCTCGGCCACGCCTATTTCATTAAGGCCTACCAAGAGGAGTGCACCTGCCTGAGGTTTCACCTGCAGCTAGTGAGGCGCATCCTCCACCAGCAGGTAAGTGCAGCTGCGTCTTCAGCTACCCCGTGCGACTGAGGGGTGGGAAGCATGGACCGGAAATGAAAGGGTGCTTTCTTCCAGGCAGTGTGTGCAGCATGTGTTTGTAGGCTCATTTGCATTGTTGAATTCCAGGCATAACTGTGACCTTAAAGGAAGGTTTCCAACCCTAATTACAGTTAATGGTCCACAGGGAATTCGATCACAGTGTTTTCCGGTGGTGGAAGAAGAACTAGCTAGTGATAAATCTTTCTCCAAGCCTGATTGTGCAAGTGGCATTTCTATTTAAGCTTTTTGGGACTATTTTTCGGACCTGGAAAGAAATGATCCCATTCTCAGTCCTCCAGGGAAATAGGCTACAGTGGGAAGCAAACAGGAGACGCAGGATATTAGAATCTGGTGGGAAGTTTTTTTCCAGAGAGTGAATGATGTGACTGAAAGACGTTTTCTTTTGCTCTTGACATTGGTTGCTGTTGCTTCCCTGGGCTGACCCTGGGCTCAGACTGAGAGTCCAGCAGGTCCATTGCAAATGACCTTCCAAGTAGTGTCTGGGTGAAAATTCGTCAGATGGTAAAGACGTGCGAAGGGAGATACCCTTCTCATGTCAAGGCTCATAACTCACACCCCTGGGAGGGCTCAACCTTTTCTAATTTTAATGCTCATGCTGCATTTATAGATAGAGTGTCAGCGGGAATATGTCCAGAGGCTTTGGCGAGAAGATCATCTCGATCTTGATGATAGGAATAAATTCGGCCTTCCCCTCAACATCATTTGCAAACAATTGATTTCCATCAACAACAGCTGGTAAGTTGGTGTTGGCTTAGGCACTTTGCATTTTCTCTTCTAGATTAATTTGAAGGGGTGGTGTTAAATCTAAATATGACTCGAAGGGCAGCATGGTGCCACAGCAGGCTAAGCTGCTGCCTGTGATGCTTGCCTCCTGGATGGACTCTGATTTGAGCCCTGGCTGCTCCACTTCTGATCCAGCTCCCTGCTAATACCCCTGGGAAAGCAGCAGAAGATGGCCCATGTGCTTGGGCCCCTGCACCCACATGGGAGATATGGATGAAGCTCCTGGCTTCAGCTCAGCCCAGCCTTGGCTGTTGTGGCCTACTGGGGAATGAGCCAGCAGATGAAAGATTGCTTCCTCTCCTCTCTCTCTGTAGCTCTGCCTTTAAAATAGAATAATCTTTAAAAAAAAAAAAGATTTATTTATTTGAAAGTCAGAGTTACACAGAGAGAGGAGGATAGGCAAAGAGAGAGAGAGTGGTCTTCCATCAGCTGGTTCATTCCCAGCTGGCCACAATGGCCAGAGCTGTGCTGATCTGAAGCCAGGAGCCAGGAGCTTCTTCCAGGTCTCCCACACAGGTGCAGGGGCCCAAGGACTTGGGCCATCTTCTGCTGTCCCAGGCCATAGCAAAGAGCCGGATTGGAAGTGGAGCAGCTGGTACTCGAACTGGCACCCATATGGGATGCCAGCACTGAAGGTGGTGGCTTTACCTGCTAAGCCACAGTGCAAGCCCCAGAATAATTCTTTTAAAAAAAGTAAAATTTAAAAATATTTTGACTCCAGAAAGCACCTGTAAGTTTTGAGGTGATAAGAGACATGGGTATAAAAACCACAGAATTCCCCTGTATATTGCATTTCTGTCTGTTTCGTAAATAACAAAGAATGGGAGGCTAGGATTTATGCTTGTGCCACTGCACGCAGGACCATCATTACCTTGGAAAGTCCTAGGGGGAAAAGCAGGTGCTCTTAAGACACAACAAGAGAATTGAATCAGAGGTACCACATAAGCCCACAAATAATTCATGGAAAAATGGAAATAGGGGCAGACATTCGGCACAGCTGTTGAGGTGCCCCTTGGGATACAGCCCAGTATCACAGCGGCTGGGCTCAAGTCCCAGCTCTACTTCCAATCCCAGCTTCCTGCTGATGCACACCCAGGAGGCAGCAGATGATGGCACAAGTGCTGGGCTCCCTGCCACCCATGGGGGAGACCTAGATTGAGTTCCAGGGTTCTGGCTTTGGCCTGGCTCAGCCCTGACTGTGGGCGCTGGGGGAATGTAACAGCAGATGGAAGATCTGTGTGTGTATGTACCTTTCAAATAAGTACATTTTAAAAAAATTTTAGAGAAAAATGCAATTAAGAAGTAAGCTTATTTTGGTGCAAAACTCCTTGAAATCCATGCATAGTTTTTTCATAATATGCATTCTCTATGAACTTTTTGAAGACCCCCCTATATATGAAACTGTGTGTGCTTGAAAGTTTCTCAAAAAGGAATTAGTTGATTCTAGCAAGCGTCACTAAAAAGGCGTCTGCAGAGTTGTTTTGTGACCAAGACCTCTCCAAGGAGCAGGATTACGTTTGCTGAGACTGCTCAGAGAGGGCACAGACCTTGTCACCCCCTTGACGTGACCAGCCCCAGCCTTACTCCCTTCCAGCCTTTGGGGACAGAAGGGACTGGGAAGCGAATGATAAGGCCTAGGTTGATCCATGTGGCTCTAGGTCTGCACCTCTTGCCTCTGAATTTGGGGAGAAGTTGTCCTGCTCTTTTCAACACCCAGCAAACACTTGTTGAGCACCTACATGTACCAGGAGGTGTGCTGGGCCTGGGGACCCAGAGGTGAACAGTGTGGGCATGCCCTTATGCCTCTGTGCAGTGTCCAGTCCAGCCATGATGGCAGACGACACATTGCTGTTGTGGATTGTGGTGTCGTCTTGGGGACAGGCAGCGTGCCGATGCTGAGACGCTCTCCTTGGTTCTGGTTGAAGAGCCCTGGGAATTCTAGGCACAAAACTCTGCGTTTTCTACATAGACCTTTCTCAGGACTGACTCCTCCACTGTACTGGAGCCAACGCACCAGCTGTGCGTGTGGGTTTTGGCAGAAGAGGCTGGGACCGTATGGCTGCTAAAATCCATCGAGAGAGTCTCAAAGGCGAATGTTATTTGCTTGATGAGATTCCTTGGCAGACTGTGGGCCGATGTCTTAGTGTGCAGGAATAAGAAAAGTCCCATTTGCATGGTTTAAAGGGCGGCATCCATGCTCTTCAGCCCTGTGTTGGTACAGAAGGGGCCATAACTTGGCCTCTGTCCTTTATTTCCAAAGGAAAAGCCTGCAGGCAAGTGTTGTGTTGGTTCTGGCCACATCCATTCCTAAAATACAGTATCCTCACAGCAAATATGAATGTTTCTGGCAGTTGTATACAGAATGTAAAAATTGTCTTTGTCTCTTAATATTTGGGGGGAAATGAGATGAATATTCAAGTGGAAAAAAAACCAGTAGCCATGAAAATTATTATTATTTTTCTAAGATTTATTTATTTATTTGAGAGGCAGAGTTAGAGAGAGAGAGAGAGAGAGAGAAAGAGAGAGAGAGATGGAGAGATGGAGAGAGGTCTTCCGTCTGCTGCTTCACTCCCCAAATGGCTGCAATGGCCAGATATAGGCCAATCCAAAGTCAGGAGCCGTGAGTTTCTTCCAATCTCCCACACAGGTGCAGGGAACCAAGCACTTGGGCCATCTTCTACTGCTTTCCCAGCCATAGCAGAGAGCTGGATCAGAAGTGAAGCAGCCAGGACTCAAACCAGAACCCATATGGGATGGTGGTACTGCAGGTAGAGGCTTAATCTACTATGCCACACTGTCAGCCCCAGAAATTATTTGCTTTTTATTTAGTCACCTTTATTTTAAGTTATTTTGTTTTCAGATAATTTACTAATTTTTAAAATAAACTTTTCATCTCAGGATAGTTTTGAATTTCTAGAGTGAAAATTGTGAAGAAGCACAAAGACTGCTCATATAACTCACACTCAGCTTTGATTACTACAAGGTTGACTGTGTTGCCATCCATGTATAGCCTTAATCTGATTCTTCTTGGGCTTTAAGAAATTGAGAGAGAGAGAGAGAATCTCCTATCTGCTAGTTCACTTCCCAAATGCCTACAACAGCCAAATAGGGCAGAGTGGAAGCTGGTAGGTGGTGACTCAATCCAGGTCTCCCAGGAACCCAGCTGCCATTGCTGTGCCTTTTACAGTGTGCACTGGTGGGAAGCTGGAGTCAAGAGCGAGGGTCAGGAGTTAGACCCAGCACTTTTCTTGGTTTTCAGACTACTTGCCTGTGTCTTGCAGCTTTAAAAGCGTTCAAATGAAAGCAAAGAGCATACTGTATAAGCCAGGGGGTCCACTGGATGGATTCTGAGGTCCCTCTGGGACCCCAGGTTTTTTTTAATAATGCACTGGACCTATAGAAACTATATTAGGGGTCTTTAAAAATTTTAAGTTCAAATTATCTTCAGACGAGGTTCAAGTCTTCCTCGTGTGAATCTCACTTGCGGTTCCTCTTCTTCTAGCCCAGCTTTGGAAGACATTTATCTGCTGGAGTTCCATCCTTCTCTTGGCCTGGCTGCACTCATCCCCAAAGCCCTGGACTACCTCCTCCAGGAAGCCTGCCGGGCCTCTAGACCCACAACAGCCAGCGGCCTTGCCCTGCTAGAGCGACGCATCCTGCGGCTGGCCCTGGACCTGTGCTTTGCCCCGACCCAGCCTGAGACCTGGTACAGTGTGCGGCTCCAGACAGAGGTAGGTCCTTTCCCAGGGGGTCTCTGGCAGAAAGAGTGTTTCCTTCCAGATGTTACTACTTAGCTTTGTTTTCTGTTTGGCTCTGTTCCCCTCTATTTGGCCAGAGAGGAATCATAGTCATAGGCTTTGCCAGAACTTTTATGTGATCCCCCACCCCCACTTTGGTCGATGTTTCTCATTTTATAAGGATATCGCTGCAATTAAAATTAAAAGTGGGATGTAGGCATGTAGGAAATGTTTTCTGGTTCATTATTGACATACATTTTAACAATGTCCATTTTAAATAAACAATTATGCATTTTCTCTTCCTGAAATTCCCTTTTTCCCCTCATCTTGAGACAGGATCTGGGAGAGGAGACAAAACGCTGAGCACGGAGCTCAGTCCTGCCGTTAGCGTGCTGGGTGGCTCTGAGCAAGCATCTTAGCTTCTCAGAGCGTCTCTTTCTCTACGCCCTGTCCAGCTCTACCGCCCAGCAGCTCAGACTGGTTCAAACTACCGATTTAAGCGGTGTCTGCAGTTGAATTTCGATACCTTTCTTTGTCCATTAAGGCTGTTGGAGTTGAGCCTGGATTTCCAAAGAACTGAGCTCTGCACGAGCACTCGCTGTGGCGCGAGAGCTCTTTCAAGAGACCCAGAGGCCAAAAACATCTGCTCTGTGGGGCTGCCCCAGCCTCCCAGCCCTTCCCGCCCAAACCCAAATTCTGTTGTATTTCAGATCAATTTTAAATGGATGAAAATTATATAAAATTACAGAGAATCCAAGCACAAGAGGAAAGAGAGACGTATAACCTAAACACAATCACTCAGATATCTTCATGATTGTTATTTTGCTGCATTCAAGTGTTATTCAAGTGCACATTTTACATAGTTCTGATCACATCCTTCATATACCATCATTGACCCATTCAGCATTTATATCAGATATTTTCATATTGCTCACAAGTCTTTGTGTTCCCTGCTATGGCCCAGTAATTCCCTTAAAGGATGAGTCATCACTTCTCTATCCATTTTCCTATGGATGAGCATTAGCGTGGTTTCAAATTTTTCATTATTATTTAAAATGCCGTCAGGGACATCTTGACGCTTATAGATTTTCCCCTATATTTTGAATTGATTCCTTTTGATAGGTTCTTGGAAGCAGAATCACTAGAATGAAATTGAAATCTCTGGATGCACATGGACAGAGTGCTTTCCAAAAGAGCCGTGCCAGCTTCTAACGCCAGCTATATCAGAGTGCACTAGACAGCACTGGGCGGAAGCATACCGCGCATGTGCTAGTGCGCTCAGAGGCCTGAGAGGTGGCCTTGTGCTACTAATTTATATTTCCTTGCTGTTCAGAGCGATTATGTTTTCTCCCAAATGTTCTGTTGCTCGCTCATTTTTTCTGTTCTTTCCTTTTGTTTGTTTGTTGGTAAATATTAACATCTGTGCTATCTACTTACATGAGTTTTCCTTATTCGTGTCTATCACATTTTCTGCTCCTATTTCCTCTTTGTCTAATTTTTAACAGAAACTCCTTACTTTCACATAGTCTGTCTGTGGTCATTTCCTTTGTGACTTCCACTCTCCTCCTAATTTCAGAAGGAAAATCTTCCTGTCGATGGTATATTTCTCTTATTCTATTCTAATTTTAAAAGTTTGATTTTATTTTAAAAATATTTAACTTGGGCTGGCACCGCGGCTCACTAGGCTAATCCTCCACCTTGCGGTGCTGGCACCCTGGGTTCTAGTCCCGGTCGGGGCACCGGATTCTGTCCCGGTTGCCCCTCTTCCAGGCCAGCTCTCTGCTATGGCCCTGGAGTGCAGTGGAGGATGGCCCAAGTGCTTGGGCCCTGCACCCCATGGGAGACCAGGAGAAGCACCTGGCTCCTGCCATCGGATCAGCGCGGTGCGCTGGCCGCAGCGTGCCGGCCGTGGCGGCCATTGGAGGGTGAACCAACGGCAAAGGAAGACCTTTCTCTCTGTTTCTCTCTCACTGTCCACTCTGCCTGTCAAAAAAAAAAAAAAAAATTAACTCCCTTAATGTTCCACTGGAATGGTGCTGGGGTGTGTGTGTGTGTGTGGTGTATGTATGTGTATGTATGTTGTGGGAGGTATAAGTTAAAACAGAATTTTCCCCAAATTATCAGCCATTTATCCTGTGATCATTTATTGAGGATTCATTTCACATTGTCTTACAGTACTGTTTCACAAACATATTTGAAATTTTCTTAGAAATTTACAGTGAGTGTCTGGGAATCCTGTTTAGTCTCTCACTGATACAACACAGTCTTTATTTATTTATTTATTTGAAAGGTAGAGTTATAGAGAGGTAGAGACTGAGAGAGAGGTCTTCCATCCGCTGGTTCACTCCTCAGATAGCTGCAACGAGACCAGGGCTGGGCCAGGATGAAGCCAGGAGCCAGGAGCTGCCTCTGGGTCTCCCATGTGGGTGCAGGAGCCCAAGGACTTGGACTATCCACCACTGCTTTCTCAGGGGCATTAGCAGGGAGCTGGATCAGAAGTAGAGCAGCCAGGATGCAAATGGCGCTCAGATGGGACGCCGGCACTGCAGGCTGGGGCTTTAAAGCCTGCTGTGCCAAGCGCCAGTCCTGCCTCACAGTCTTAATTCAGATTATTTTTGAAATGTGTTTGAATTTGGGCCTGGAAATATGAATAAAAAAATGAATAACACTTGGACCAATCTTTTGTATTAGGTCAGAACATGAAGGGGCGTTGCCTCCAGTAAGCTACAGGAATTCAATGAATAGGGTCTCTTGGTTACCACTTTGGAAGACTGTGAGAGTCTAGAAATTGCGTCCTTGAATAGGCAGGTCCTTTGGCTGAGAAATGGGTGGCTAAGGGGACTTTTGCCCCCTTGCGGGATCACCAGGACAGGCAGACAAGGATTCCCCAAGTGAGGTCCTTGCTGGGAGTGCTCCATTAGAACACAGGTGCCCACCAAGACATTACAGGACAATGCGGTGACTTTGTGAGTCACCCAGAGCCATTACAGCAGCATGGGCTACCACAGAACTCATGAACCTGGAATTAGGAAACCTGGTACTGCAGGGTGATCCCGGAATGCCTCTGCCTTGGGTCAGACCCCACCTTGCTAAACAGGTGTCTGTGACACCAAAGAAAAACAAGTTAGTAGATGTGAAAAAACTTGGAAATTTGAAAATTGCAATTAGAGGGCTTGATTTAAAAAAAAAAAGTTGTTTTTCTTGGCCCCCAAAATACTTTCCAAAATCAGGAACTAATATTTCCATTTAGGTTGTCTTTGTCCTATTCTTCATTTATATGCAAACTTTATAAAAACAATAACAGTAACTGCAGGTATTAGCTCACTTCTCCTCTTAACATCCCGCTTAGGTAGTTATTGTCTGTGAGTTTTAGTAGGTATTGGTTATCATCTTTATGCCTACTTTACAGATGGAGAAACTGGGAGACGGTGGTATTGTGTACATTGTCCAAAACCTCACAGGATGTAAGTGGTAGAGCCAGAAAGTGAGCTCAGGAAATCTGGACCCAGAGTCTGTGCCACTGCCGATACTTTTCTAATATGCCAGATTTCGTCCTTTCTGTGTTAAAGAGAAGTGTGCTTTCTTGCAGCTGTTTTCGGCTAAAGTGATGGGAGATCCCTTTCTCGTGGAAGAGATAGGCCTGCTGGCTCTCCAGCCTGCAGCAGCAGCAGGACAGGAACGAGGGCTGGGGCCTCCTGTGCTGCCCCTGGACACGTTCGCCAGACTCCTGGAGCTCTTGACCCTCCGCCACCGGCTGATAGAAGCGAGTCTGCAGAGTGCGCACTTAGCTCGGTCAGTAGAGGCGTGGGTGCCGGGGCACCAGAAGCTCTGTGGAAAGGCGTGGGGAGCTGTAGACCACGGGGCTCCCTGTCCACAAACCTTGCCCCACTGCCCTGCCCCAGAACAGCCACAGTGGGTCATTTATTCATTTATTAAAGTTGTTATATAGGAATTACACATATTCATGGGTACAGTCACATTTCAATACCGTATATGATGTGTAATGATCAGATCAGGGGCATTGGCAATTGGCATGTCTGTCACCCTAGACATATATGTTTGTCTTGGGGACACATTCAAAATCCTCTCTTCTAGCTATTTTATCGTATTTCATTGACTGTTGTCAACCATCATTCTGCACTATGGAACTTGAAGTTATTCCTACTATCCAACCGCATCCCTGTACCCATGAACCATCCTCTCTTCATCCTCCCCTCCCTCACACCCTTCCCAGCGTCCGTAACCACCCATCTACTTCTTTGAGACCAACTTTTTAGCTTCCACATAGAAGTGAGATCATGTGGTATTTGTCGTTGTCTGACTTATTTGACTGAACACAGGGCCCTCCAGTTCCATCTATGTTGCTGCAAATGGCAGACTTTTGCTCTTTCTTATGGCTGAATAATATTCCACCGTGAATAAATGCTACTGTTTCTTTACCTCGTCATCTGACAAAGGACACCTAGGTTGCTTCCATGTTTTGGTTACTGTCAGTAGCGCTGCAGTAAACATGTGCGTGCAGATGTCTCTTTGAAATACTGGTTTCAGTTCCTTTGGATATGAATCTAGAAGTAACAATGCTGGGTCATACGGTAGTTTTGGTTTTTTAAAGATAACCCATTTTCTAAAAAGTTTCATATATTTATTTTATGCATTTGAAAGTCAGAGAGTAGGCCAGTGCCACAGCTCACTTGGCTAATCCTCCGCCTGTGGTGCTGGCACCCTGTTCTAGTCCCGGTCGGAGCGCTGGATTCTGTCCCCATTGCTCCTCTTCCAGTCCAGCTCTCTGCTGTGGCCAGGGAGTGCAGTGGAGGATGGCCCAAGTGCTTGGGTCCTGCACCCCATGGGAGACCAGGTGGAAGCACCGAGCTCCTGGCTTCCTATCGGCGCAGCGCACCGGCCGTAGCAGCCACTTGGGGGGTGAACCAATGGAAAAAGGAAGACCTTTCTCTCTCTCTCTCTCTCACTGTTTAACTCTGCCTGTCCAAAAAAAGAAAGAAAGAAAGAAAGAAAGAAAGAAAGAAAGAAAGAGAAAGTCAGCGAGATCAATACAGAAACAGAGATCTTCCATCAGCTGGTTTACTCCCCACATGCCCGTGGAAGCTGGGGCTGACCAAGACTGAAGCTAGGTCCCTCATGTGGGTGACAGAGACCCATCACCTTTTGCCTCTCAGGGTGTATGATAGTAGGAAGCCAGAACTGGAAGCAGAGCTGGGGCTTGAACACAGATCCTCTGGTATGGGATGTGGACATCCCAAGCAGCATCTTAACTGCTGCGCCATATGCCCATCCCATATAGAAGTTCTATTTCTTGTTTTTTTCTGTGTGGAAGTTTCATACTGTTTCCTGTAATGGCTAATTCATTATTATTATTTATTGCTTATTTTTTCTATAATGGCTAACTTATGATTTACTGTTTTCTATAATGTACTAATTTTTATTCCCATCAAGAGTGCAAAAGGTTCCTTTTTCCTCCACATCCTATCCAGCATTTATCTTTTTTATAATAACCATTCTAACTAGAGGACGGTGATATCTCATTCTGGTTTTGACTTTCAGTTCCCTGAAGATTAGAGATGCTGGGCATTTTTTCATATGGCCATTTGCGTATCCTCTTTGGAAAATGTCCATTTTTTAAGAAAATATTTATTTACTTGAGAGGTAGAGTTATACACAGAGAGAGGGAGAGACAGAGAGAAAGGTCTTCCATCCACTGGTTCCTTCCTCAAATGGCTGCAATGGCCAAGGCTGGGCCAGGCTGAAGCCAGGAACCAGGAACTTCTTCCAGGTCTCCCACTTGGGTGCAGGAGCCCAAGCACTGGGCCACCTTCCACTGCTTTCCCAGGCCATAGCTGAGAGCTGGATGGGAAGTGGAACAGCCGGGACTAGAACCGGTGCCCATATGGGATGCTGGCACTTCTGGCCAAGGCTTTAACCCAGTGCGCCACAGCACCGGCCCCTCTTCACTCTTTTGTTTGCTTCCTTTGTTGTGCAAAATCTTTCTAGTTTGATATAATTTCATTTGTCAGTTTTTACTTTTGTTACCTGTGCTTTTGGGATCATATGCAAAAACAAAACAAAACAAAACAAAAAAACAACTTTACACAGAACAATCTTCCAAAGAATTTCCTCTATGCTTTCTTTTAGTAATTTTATAGCTTTTGAGTCTTGCATTTAAGTTTTTGATTCACTTTGTGTTAATTTTTGTATATGATGAGAGATAAGGGTCTAGTTTGATTTTTTTTTTTTTTGCCTGTGAATGTCCAGTTTTCACAGCATCACTTTTTTTTTTTTTAAAGATTTATTTGTTTATTTGAAAGTCAGAGTTATGCAGAGAGAGAAGGAGAGGCAGAGAGAGGGAGAGAGGTCTTCCACCCACTGGAACATTCCCCAGTTGGCCATAACAGCTGGAACTGTGCCCATCCGAAACCAGGAGCCAGGAGCTTCTTCCCAGTCTCCCACACGGGTGCAGGGGCCCAAAGACTTGGGCCATCCTCCACTGCTTTCCCAGGCCACAGCAGAGAGCTGGATCAGAAGTGGAGCAGCCAGGACTCAAACTGGTGCCCATATTGGATGCTGGCACTGCAGGTAGCGGCTTTACCCACTATGCCACCTACCCCAGCATAATTTTTTTTTAAGAGACTTCCCTTTCTCTATCATATGCTTTTGCTGTCTTTGTCGAAACTAAGTTGGCTGTAAACATATAAGTTTATTTCTGAGTTCTCTATTCTGTTTCATTGGTCTATATATCTGTTTTTATGCCAGTGCCAGGCAACTTTGTGGCTTTTGCTTTCTAGTATGTTTTGAAATTAGGTATTGTAATACCTTTGTTCTTTTTGCTCAAGATTGCTTTGACTATTCAGGGACTCTTGTGATTCTACACAAATTAGTAGTATTTTGCAGTTTCTGTAAAGGATGTCATTGATGGGGTCAGTGTTATGGTACAGTGGCTTAAGCCACCTCCCACAGTGCCAGCATCCCATATGAGCACCAGTTCAAGTTCCAGCTGCCACATTTCCTATTCAGCTCACAGGTGATGCAACAAAAGATGGTCCAAGTGCTTGGGTCCCTGCCCCCACATGAGAAACTCAGAGGAGTTCCAGGCTCCTGGTTTTGGCCTGATCCAGATTGAGCCATTGTAGACATTTGGGGAGTGAACCAACAGATGGAATCTCCCTCTCTCTCTTTCTCTCTCTGTGTGTGTGTGTGTGTGTGTGTGTGTGTGTCTCTCTCTCTGTAACTCTCTCAAATAAATAAACAAATCTTTGAATAAAAATGAATGTCATAGGTATTTTGATAGGAATTCCATTGAATCTGTAGATTGCTTTGGGTACTATGGACACATCAACAATATTAATTCTTCTAATCCATGAACATAGGATGTCTTTCTATTTTTTGAGTTCTCTTTAATTTCTTTTATAATTTTCATTGTATAGATAATTCACTTCCTGGATTTAATTCATCCCCTAGAAGTTTATTTTGTGGTTATTGTAAATGAGATTGCTTTCTTGATTTCCTTCTCAACAATTTCATTATTGGAACATAAAAAAGCTGCTGATTTTCATGTTGATTTTGTATGTTGCACCCTTACTAGGTGTATCAGTTCTAACACCTTTTTTCCTGTGGAGTTTTTAGGCTTTTGTATATATAAAATCATGTCATCCATAAACAAGGATAACGTGATCTCCCCCTTTCCTATTTAGATGCTCTTTATTTTTTATCTTATTACTCTGGCTAAGACTTCTGATACGATATTGAATATTGTCTTGTTCTTGATATTGGAGGAAATGATTCTAGCTTTTCCCCATTCAGTATGATGTATGTTATGAATTTATCATTAATAATGTTTTGAGGTATATTCCTTCTATATATAATTTTTTGGGAATTTTATTGTGAGGAGCTATTGAGTCTTATTGAATGTTTTTTTCCTGTATCTACTGAGATGATCAGGATCATGATGTATTGTATTTATCAATCTGTGGGTGTTAAAGTATCCTCAGTTCCCTGGAATGACTCCCACTTGATCCTGATGTACAATCTTCTTATTTGCCATTAAATTCCATTTACTAGTATTTTGTTGAGAATTGTTACATATATGTTCATCCAGGATATTAGTCTGCAGTTTTCTTTCTTTCTTATGTGTTTGTCTGATTTGGGTATCTGGCTAGTGCTGGCCTCATAGAATGAGTTTGGAAAGATCTCCCCCCTTTAAATACTTGAGGAATAGCTTGATGAAAATTGGCATTAGATTTTTTAAAAAATATTTATTTATTTGAAAGGCAGAGTTATAGAGAGGCAGAGGCAGAGAAAAAGTGAGAGAAAGAGAGAGGTCTTCAAACCGCTGGTTTATTACCTAAATGGCCACAACGGTCGGAGCTAGCCCAGTCGGAAGCCAGGAGCCAGGAGCTTCTTCTGGGTCTCCCACACTGGTGCAGGGGCCCAAGGACTTGGGCCACTTTCGCTGCTTTCCCAGGTCAAAGGAGAGAGCTGGATCAGAAATGGAACAGCCGGATCTTGAACTGACACCCATGTGGGATGCTGGCACTGCAGGCAGCAGCCTTACCTGCTATGCCGCAGCACTGGCCTTGACACTACATCTTTAAAAATCTGGTAAAAATCAGCAGTGAATCCATTTGGTTCTGGGCTTTTCTTTGTTGGGAGATGTTCTATTACTGATTTAATACTGTTACTTGTTATTGGTCTAATCAGGTTTTCTGTGTCTTGAAGTTTCAATTAGGTTATTTGTGTCCAGAAATGTATCCATTTCCTCTAGAGTTTCCAAGTTTTTGGTGTAGAGATGTTCATAATGGTCCCTAATGATCTTTGTATTTCTGTGTTAACGTTTCCTTTGTCATCTCTGATTTGTTTCTTTGGATATTGTCTCTTTTTACAATTTTTATTTGAGAGGAAAAGAGAAAGAGAATGAGAGACAGACAGACAGACATGCTACCTAGGCTTGTCATTCTGTCATTGTTTTCCTGGTTATTTTGTGATCCTGTTTCTTCCTGTCTTGTTCATCTTTGTGCTTTGATGGTTTTCTGCATTGACAGCGTTGCATCCTGTTCTCTTTCTCATTCACGTGTCTGCTCCACTGTTGAGTTTCGTGCGCTCGTTCCCCTGTTTCCGTGGTGGGAGCCGTCATCCTTTCAGGTCTAGTGAGGGCCTCCTTACGCCTTGCTGGTGGGGCTGGTCTGCTGGGGACGAAGATCATTCACCTCTCTGACACTACCACTCCTTGCTCTCCATGAGCTCTTGTAGAAAAAGTACCCAGAACTTGGAGTAATCTTGATATTCTACTCGTGTTTTGTTTGTTGTAGGAAATCTTTACTTCTCCTTCATGCCTGAAAGATAGCTTTACTAGCTATAAGTATTCTTGGCTGGCAGTTTTTCCCCTGAAGACTTTGGCTATATCACCCTGTTCTCTCCTGGCTTGTGAGGTTTTGGCTGAGAACAGAATGGGTTTTCTAAATGGCCAAAATGGTCAGCTCTCTGCTTTGCTTCTTCCTCCTTCCATGCCCCTGACACGTGTCCTGACCACTCACCCGGCCCAGGCCCTCTTACAGCATCTGGGTTTTCTCTCCATTCAACACATTTCCGTTTAATTGGATGTTTAATTTTTTTTAAGATTTATTTATTTGAAAGCAGAGAGAGAGAGAGAGAGAGAGAGAGAAAGTGTTAATTCACTCCCCAAATGGCACACAGTGGCCAGGGCAGAACTCCAGCCAGGTCTCTCATGTGGGTAGCAGGGGTCCAAGCACTTGGGCCAGACACTTAATATTGGTGGATCCTGCTAGCATCATCTACTATTATATCCGCTTGCCTGGTATGGGCCCTGAGCCACCCCCCAGCACTCAAGGAATATTGGTTGAATTTTCCCTTGGATGTAATAAAGTTGAGTAGCAGAGGGCCTAAGGAGAGGAGTCAGTGACAGCATCCAGATCTGACAGAGTAGGAAAGGGAGAGATGAGTAAGTCACGGTGCGGGGTGAGTGGGCGATGAAGGCAGAACCCCAGTGGGCGTGTTCAGTGGGCCGAAAACCAGGTAGAGTGCTCTTGGGTTCCGATCCCCCATGAGAGGCCAGCTGTTCACCGCCAGCCAGTGTCAGTGTTCTGGGCTTTATGTGTATCTCCTTTAGTTCTCAGAATATCGTTTATCCACAAGGAAATAGAGGCTGAGAAAAGTTAAGTAATTTGCCCCAGGTCATATAAGTAGCAAAGTGTAGAAGCAGCATTTGAACTATTAGTCAGGATATCATGACCCTCTCTGACACTGCCACCCCAGAATTTATGATCCTTGCTCTCAGGGAGCAGGTGATGTAAAAGTCACTCCAAATTTAGCATAATCATAATATTCTACTCTTATGAACGCAATAAGGAAGAGCACAGGTGTGGGGAGCAACCCGGACTAGACTGAGTTACTGGAATTAAGACTTATTCTATGCATCTGCTCTCCCACAATATGGCGCTGGGAGAGGAGAAAACAGCTTCTACGCAGCTGCCTCCAGTTCAACCAATAAACTGTAGGACCTACTCCTGATTAGAGGAGAGCAGCGTACTCGGCATGTGGGCAGCCGAGTTAGGATTGGCGGAGGAGGACTATAAAGGAGGAGAGAGACGGCATTCACCAGGAACATCTACGAGGAACATCTAAGGGGAACATCTAAGGGGAACACCTGTGCAGCCCCCGAGAAGAGCCGGCCGGCGGTGTGCCGCTCCCCTGCGGAAGTGGGGAATGCGGCCAGGGGGGACTGCCCTTCCACGGAGGTGGAAGGGATAGTAGCCAACCCGGGAAGAACCAGCAGCAAACCCGGGGAGGGCCGAGCAGACGAAAGAACAGCGCAGGGTCCTGTGTCGTTCCTCCACGAAGAGGGGGAGCGACACACAGGAGTACTTCATTCTTTCTGATGGGTCAGGGGAGTCTTCATGGAAAAGGAGCTACTATGGCAGGAGTTGTGTCCCTCCAAAATCCAAATGTTCAAGTCCTAGCCCCTAACACCTTAGAATCGCACGTGGAGGAAGGATTTTCCCAAAAGTAATCAAGCTAAATTGAAATGAATAGGGTGTACCCTAATCCAATGTGACTGGTGTCCTTATAAAGATGGAGACATTTGGATACAGGCAAACGCAGAGGGAAGATGATGTGCTAGCACAGGGAGAGAACGGCCACCTGTAAGTCAGGGGGTGAGGCCTGGAGCAGATCCCTCCCTCACAGCCCTCAGAAGGAACCAGCCCCACCGACGTCCGGATCTCAGGCTTCTACTCCAGAACTGTGAGACAGCACATTTCTGTGGTTTAGGCCACTCAGTGCTTTGTGCGTGCCTCCGTAACTCGTTAGAGCAGCCCCAGCAAGCTAACACAGGCGTCAGTAGAACCTAGCCTTATTGTGCCAACTTCTCAAGAAGGAGAAGTCTCTTACGCTGGGGGTGAAGGTAAGTGGGGCAGTATCATGGACATGTGAGGCTGAGATGTACAGGACATCTGAATGAAGCCCCCCCCCCCCCCGCCCATGCCATGAAAACGTGGGACTGAGCTCAGAGTCAGTTCAGACAGAGGCAAGGGTCTTTTTTTTTTTTTTTTTTTAAGAGTTTTACTTACTTACTTGAGAGGCAGGGTTACAGAGAGACAGAGAGAAGGGTCTTCCATCCACTGGTTTTCTCCCCAAATGGCCACAACGGCCAGAGATGGGCCAATCTGAAGCCAGGAGCCAGGAGCTTCTTCTGGGTCTCCCATGGAAGTGCAGGGTGCCAAGCACTTGAGCCATCTTCCACTGATTTCCCAGGGCATTAGTGGGGAGCTGAATCAGAAGTGGAGCAGCCGGGACAGGAACCAGCGCCCATATGGGATGCCGGCACTGCCACCAGAGGCTTATCCCACTACACCACAGCACCAGCCCCAGGTCATGGATTCTTACACAAGAGAGTGGTCTTAGGCCTGAGACTGGACAAACTGGCCAAGAAGGGGTATAAGAGATGAGGAGATGACCAGGTTTAGAACCTCAGGAGACACCAGAATTTGCAAATCAGGAGGAAGAGAAGCCGTGAAGAGGTGGTCCTGAGGCAGGAAACAGTGGAAATCCTGCACCCAGGAGGCTGCTCGGGGGAACAGAGAGGCCGGCTAAGAGCAGCTCCGGGAAAGGTGATGAACGCTGCCTGAGGACAGCACCGGAGGGCTCCGAGGCCAGAGCCGGCTCGCTGCAGGCGGGAGCTGAGCAAGTGCCCAGCGCATCTCCTGCTGTAGCTCTGCAGCTGTCCTGGCGAGGGCTGAGCACGTGACCTCGTGACTCACCCACTCCTCACTCCTCTTGTTTGCCCTCAGCTTTGTTTGCTTATTTGGGTGTTTCGGTTTTCTTCCCACTTACTTGCCTTTCAGGATAAAACACCGACAAGTGTCCTGGGCTCTTTTTTTTTTCTTTTCTTTTCTTTTAGGCTCTATAAGGAGTTGGCACAGGAGATGGGGTTTGAAGAGTTCCATTTGCACCTGAGGCCTGTTCCCTTTGAGTTTGCATCACACAAGGATGAGGTGGATGGATCACCGCCTGCCTTTGTAACTTCCCTGCTGGAGGACGCTGGCCAGCTGGACAGGTGCGACTTGGGAGAGACAAAGTGACCACAATGTAATGGTAGAATGCGTAACGAGTAAAAAATAATTCCTATCATTATTGGGCACTGTTAAATTCTCGCCCTTATATTCCATCGGCCGTGTTGCCAGTTTGTCTTTCTGTTTTTAATAGGAGGCAAAAATGAATAAGTAAATAAGATCTTGGGCAAGGGAGATAATGGAGTTTGCAAACACGGAGTCACGGAGAAGTTAAAGACCCAGATAAGAAAACTCCAATGAGATGAGATTGCAGGCTCAGCAGCCTGCCAAGTAGAACATGTTGCCTCCAGGCAGGAAAGGGTTAAAGGGTTGGCCGGCTGGAGAAGAGCAAGGCTGCAAAGTCCAGAGCTGCTTTCTCACTTTGCTTGGGACTAGGAAGAAGTTACTTCCTGTCGTCGGGGTAGGTGCTGCGGCACAGAGGTTGCACTGCCACTTGAGATGCCTGTGTCCCGTGTTGGAGTGCCTGGGTCCAGGCCCTGGTGTGGCTTCTGACCCAGTGCTTGCTGATGTGTATCCTGGGAGGCAGCAGCTGATGACTCAGATGCTTAGGCCCCTCCGCCCCTGTGGGAGACCTGGATGGAGTTCTGAGCTCCTGGCTTTGGCCTGGCCCAGTGCCTGCTGTTTTAGGCATTTACAGGAGTGAACCAGCAGATTCAAGCTCTTTCTCACTTTCTCTGTCATTCACTTTCTGTGTTGCTCTGCCTTTCAAATAAAAATAAATTAACTTATCTTTTTTTAAAAAAGGAAAATCACTTGCATTTTCTAAGCAGCTGTTTTTGGGAGCTATAATGCAGGGTTTCAGTCAAGCTCTTTCTTTCTTTGGTTAGTAACAGAAACCGACTCAAACCAATGAAACCTCTGTCTCATGCCCCACGGGCTCAGCCCAGGCTCGGAAGGAAACACTCTGACTGGTAACAGTCACAAATGCACTCTCTGGGGCAGGACTGTTCCTCACCCATGCTCAGCTGTGATGCGGGTGCAGGCGAAACTTCTCTTCCCCTCCTTTCCCTCTCTGCTCCATCGCTTGCCTTTCCTCCCAGGGTCCTGGCTCTGTTCCTGGGGTTTCCTGGGACTGCCTCTGCCCCAGAGACGGCAAAGGTGACTCCCAGGAAGAAGAGTCACCATTGGTTGTTTGGCTAACGTGGATCACTACTCAGAACACAGCTCCTGTGCATTGGTCCCCAGAGGACCCCCTGGAGCATGGGCTGGGATGACAGGGGATAGGGGGCAGATCGTAGCAACCCTGGATTCCTCTACTGGACATGATTGGAATTGGGGGATGGGAAGTCTTAGTTATGGGAAGGGGGCATTGTCCTATGTGTCTTACACACATGGCTTCCACCCAGGGGATGCCACCCCCACCCCCTCCCTTCCATTCTGAAACTGGGCCATGTGTCAGACACTGTCTACCACTCCCCTGGAGGCACACCCTCCCCTGTTCTATCCCATCACGTAGGCTGCCCCCAAACCAGAATCTGCTGTCGGGACACAGAACTAGCTCACAGATGCCAAGGGTTCTAACTGGCAGGGAAACATCCTGCATCAAGCTGCTCCCTGGGTCTTCAAGGGCCTCCTGCTGGAGCTGGGGTTACATATGGCTGCGAAAGTAGGACACACTTTTGTTCAGGCTGATCCACCAATCAGCAGAGACTGCCCGAGGGCTCTACGGTCTGGCCAGGCAATGATTGGTCCTTCCAGTGATGGCCCAGAGAGCTGGATGCTACGGGAAGCCTCTGGGTCTGCTAGGACAGACTTCTGCAGCCAAGGAACTTGTGTTTTGAGTTCACATTTCTTGCGTGTATGTTCAGTCCCTAAAGTGACCACTCTGAAGTGCCATTATAGCCACAGCATTTACCAAACATGATTACAGATACTTGGATTTTGAAAAGTTCATGCATGCTTAGCATCCCACTTGATGTTTGCCATAACCTATGAGAGAGGCAATATCTCCATTTACAGATGAAGAAACAAAGCTTGATAGAGGTCAGATTATTTGGCACAATCTCAGAGGTAGGGACAAGGAGCATGTCCCAAGGAGGAGATGTGCCTGCAGATGATTAGGGGATTGTTGGGAAGCCCAGGAGAGGGCAAGCAGCGGACAGCAGGTAGGGAGTGTTCAAAGGAGGAGGTCGGAGAGCCACCCTGAACAGGTGTGGTCCAGAAGGTAAAAGGAGAAACAAGAGCAAGCAGTGATCAAGAGAAATGAGTTTTAAGCACCATGGGGTGGTCACCCCACCCAACTGCAGAGAGAACGAGTCCCCGAGGGACGGAGGACGGCAGAGAAGTCACCGTCTTTGGGTTGAAATGTCAAGCTTTGCATGAAACCTACACTTGGCCTTCCTGTTGGCATTCCTGCCCTAAGACAACAATCCTGGCCTTAACTTCTGCGGCACCACTAGAAAGTCGCATCGCAGCCATGATGTGTTCCTACCTGCAGGTATTCTCCTACTGCTCTCGTCTTAGCCATCTCCGAAGTGGACGACAACCAAATCGGCAAATTTAGTTTTTATACGAAGGAAGCCATCCTTAAGGTAACTTACAAATTTTTTTTTTTTGAAAATAAACTCAAATAAGGCAGTCTATTCATATGTGCTTTTAAAAATCATATTTAATTCATAGAAATATGACTCCCGTATTTAAGAAAGGCTTCATTTCATAAATAGTGATGATGGCCTTGCTTTATTTGATGTCCCAGTGCCCTGAGAAGCGCATGTGCTGAACCATTCTTGCGTCACATTTTTTAAACCTACACTTGTTACTGGAGTTGTTTAGTTGAGTTTTTTAAGCCTGGTACTGTGTTTTTTTTTTTTCCCTGCCACTCAGATTTATTTGATTTTATTTATTTATTTATTTTTTCAACGTTGATCTAGTCTCAGCTTCTAAGAGCTGGCTACCGAGCACCTGTTTGCTAGTTCCTAAGACCCTGCTCCGTTCCTGATCATCGGGAAAACCAGATGGAGCAAATCAGAGCAAAGCAGGCCTGGTGGTGGCTGCTTTCCTAGACTAAAATGCTTCCTACGGAGGGGTAAGACCCAGCCTTATGGCTGAGTAGCCAGGATCCCAGTGTATCCTGCAGTTTGATTCACATATTGACATGTCGAGGGAGTGGCTGTCTCAACCCTTAACTTCACCTTTCCTTATAGGAGAAATTTGTAAACACTTGCACGTTTTCTTCCTTTAGCTCTTGTTCCATTCTGGAGTGGAGAATATGCAGGTGACCCTGGCATGCCAAGTTGCTCAGAAAAATGCCCTGATGGTGGCTGTCCGGCAGGCATTCTTCTATCACACTCCTCGAGGGCACTGTGCTGAGGCCAAGGTGAGCCACCAGCCAACACCAGGCTCCTTTCCCTCCTGTCCCTCTCCCAGGCCCCCTTCTTCCTCCCTGCCCCTCCTCTTCTCTTCCTCTCTCCTTTCCTTTTTCTCTTCCTTCCCTTTTCCCATTTGTGGTCCGTGTGTGACCAGATCCTTAACGGTCTCTCTAAGTTTCAAGGATTTACTAACAACGCTTCCTTTGCGTATAACTCTAATGTTGACTTGGCTGGAGTCAGCAGCAGGAAATTTTCAGGTCCCCAGTCCCTACACTTTGCAGGTAAACAATTCCACTGTTTTTCTGTTGATCCTTCCTGGAACTTATTTTTGCTGTTGCAAAAGCAGGCAGATATGGGGCCAGCGCTGTGGCATAGTGGGTAAAACCACCACCTGCAGTGCCAGCATCCCATCTCCCAGCGTTGGATCAGGCCAGCTCCAGCCATTGCAACCATTTGGGGAGTGAACCAGCAGATGGAAGATCTCTCTCTACCTCTGCCTCTGCCTCTGGCTCTCTCTAACTCAGCCTTTCAAATAAATAAATAAATCTTCAAAAAAAGTTGGCAGACACCTCTGACTCTTTTTTTCCACAAAACATACCAAACTATACAAGAAGGATGTACTCTTTTCTGCCTCCAGATTTGAAATTTTTGGTTATGAGATATAATTCATCTAACATGAAGTTTACCCCTTCAAAGTGAAAATTAGGTGGGTTTTGGTCTATTCACAAAGTCATGTAACCTTGGCCACTGTCTCATCCCAAAACGTTGTAATCACTCCCTGGAGAAACCCTGCACCCACTGGCACTCAGGCCCTGTTCCCTCCTCCCCTCCATCCCTAGCAACAGCTCTTCTGCCTTCTGCTGCCCTAGACTGGCCTGCTCTAAGCATCCTAGATAAATGGGATCGCACCACATCATCGACTTCTATGTCCAGCCCTTTCACTTAGCATGATGTTCTCAAAGTTTATCTGTGTTATAGCAACTACCAGCGCTCCTTTCCCTTCATTGTTGAGTCGTATTCAGTTGCACTGCCTTTGCTTTCCCATTCATCAGTTGATGTGTGTTAGATTGACATTCTGGCTATTAGGAGTAATGCTGTGCACGTTCCTGTCCAGGATTCTGTGAGGACATACTTTTTCATTTTTCCTTGGACGTATATATAGAAGTGGAATTAGTAGGTTGTATGGTAATTTCATGTTTCACACTTTGAGGAATTGCCAAATGGCTTTCCGTAGTGGCTGCACCATTTTACATTCCCATCAGCAATGTCTGAGTGTTCCAATGTCTCCGCATTTGAGCCGGCACCTGTTATTGTCTGCCTGTTTCGTATTAGCTGTCCTAGTAGAGGTAAAGTAGTAGCTCATTTGGTTTTGATTTGCATTTACCTAATTGCTATGATTTTAAATATCTTGTCATGTGTTTATTTGGCCATTTCCATACCCTCTTTAGAGAAATATCTATTTAAGTCTTTCTCTCTTTTATAAAATTGGTGGATTTTCTTTGGTTGTTAGTTGATGAATGTAAGACTCAGGATTACAAGTTCCTTATAAGCTGTTATCTGTGAAGATTTTCTCCCATTCTGTAGGTTGTCTCATGAGTCCCATTTGTCTACTCTCTCTTTTGCCACTTGTGCTCTTGCTGGCATACGTAAGAAACTGCTGCCTATTCCAGAGCCAGAAAGATGTACTTCTATGCTTTCTTCTAAGTTTTCTACAGTTTTGGCTCTTGCATTTAGGTTTATGGTCCATTTATACTTAATTCTTCATTCTTTTGCCTGTGGTTATCAAGTTGTTCAACACTGTTTGTTGAAAAGATTCATCTTTCCCCATAGAATTTTCTCAGAACTCTTGTCAAAAATTGAGGATAAATGTGAGCACTTGTTTTCGGACTGTCGTTTCTGTTTGATTGATCTAAATGTCTTTTTATGCCAGTATCACAGTGTTTTGATTACTGTAGCTTGGTAGTAATTTTTGAAATTGGGAAATGTGAGCCTTCCAACTTCATTCTTCTTTTTAAAGATTGTTTTAGCTATTTTGGGTCCCTTGCATTTTGGTATGAATTTTACCATCAAGCCTGTCAATTTCTGTTAGAGGAAAAGGCATTTGGAATTTTGACAGGGATTGTGCTGAGCCTGTGGAGCAGTTTGTGTTATTGCCGTCTTACGTTTTCCTATTCAGGAGCACCAGCTATATTTCCACTTATTAAGGTCTTTAACGTTTCTCAATCATAGTTTATAGTTTTCAGTGTCCAACTGTTATACTTTTTTAGTATTAATCCCAAATATTTTATTCTCTTTGATATGATTATAAGTGCAATTGAGTTCTTAATTTCATTTTCTTTTTTTAAGATTTACTTGATAGGCAGTTACAGAGGGAGAGAGAGGTCTTCCATCCACTGGTTCACTCCCCAGGTGGCTGCAATGATCACAACTGGGCTGATCCAAAGCCAGGAGCCAGGAGCTTCATCCTGGGCTCCCACATGGCTGCAGGGATTTGAGTTGTCTTTGGCAGCTTTCTCAGGCACATTAGCAGGGTGCCAGATTGGAAGTGGAGCAACCAGGGCTCAAACTGGCGCTCATACGGGATGCTGGTGCTGCAGGCAGTAGCTTTACCTGTTATGCTACAGCACCAACCCCCTTAATTTCATTTTCTAAATGTTCATTATTAGTATACAGAAATAAAATTATTTGTATATATTAATATCGTATCCTATAACCTTGCACAACTAGTTTATTTGTTCTAGTGATTTTTGGGGGTATGTATAAGGGTGTGTGTACACACATGTGCATGCATTTCTTCATATTTTCTTGTATAGGTCCATGTCATTTGCAAGTAGAATATTTTTACCTCTTGCTTTCTTTTTCTCCCCTAATTGCCTTCACCAAGCTTTCCAAGACAAGGCTGAATAGAAGTAAGGGTAGTAGATATTACCGCCTTCTTCCTGATTTTAGGGGGAAAACGTTCCTACTTTCACTATTAAGTATAACGATAGCTATGAGTTTTTCATCAATGCCTTTTGCCAGGGTGCAGCCCTTGCATTATATTCCTAGTGTGTGGGATTTTTTTCTCAATGTGCAAGAGTTTTGGGTTTTATCTGTTTGCATTCTCCTGTGCTTTTTCCTTGATGTTATGTCCTTGCAATCAGTTGGATCAGTTTGTGGAGATTTCCCTCCCTTCTCTCTTCCAGCGGCGTATTTCCCTCCTGTGCGTATACCAGGGAACGTAGCTTAGGTTTAAAATTAAATACGGTTTTCAGAGGTCGACTCTCCAGATGGTCTTCAATCTTCAGGCCTCATACATTCTATCAGTTACTACATTCTTCTCTTATCACATTTATATCCTCCCTGCTTCTCCATTTCTCCTTGTCATGACCATAGGAGAGCACAAACATATGGGGAAGGCAGGAACACTCAATCCCCACTTCTACTGCCAAGTCCTATGTCCCCCAGAAATTCGAGATAGAGTAATTATATTGATTCTTAAAAATCCACACCCCCTCATCTTAACTGCTGTAAGTTAGACTCATCAGCTAATGTGGAGGTGCAGTTCCTGCTCCCAGAGAACTTACAGGCCAGTGTGTGACAGGGGGCCAGGCCCACTCACAAGTGGCTCAGATACAAGGCATGAGAGAGGCTCAGAAGGTGCATACGGAGCTTAAAGTAAACAGAGGCCACGACGGGGGAGCCAGGAGGGGCAGTGCAGAGGAGCGGCACTGGGATAGCCTGAGGGATGGGGTTTGGACAGGCAGAGAGTGACCACTCCGAGTAGAGATAAGAGAAAGGAAAGAGCAGCATCGGGCGGGGAGGGGACCAGGAACAAGAGAGGAGCCCGTCTGACGACCAGCTGAGGCGTCCGTGCACAGCTGAGTTACAGCTCACGGGAGCTTGTGAGGAAGTCTAACAGCTAAAGCAGGTGTAAGCGGGCTGTTTTGATTGATGTGCCTGTTAGAGGCTTATGCCTCACCGCCTGAGATCTAGCCGAGATACACGTGTTGAAAGACGCTGGGCGGAGTACAGGACTGGGGTGGGAAGCTCTGAGATGATAGTCTGGACACACTGGGAGCGCGGGGAGCCATGGGGAGGCACTGGGGCAGCAGCCTGCAGAGGCGGGCGAGGGCTGTACCGTGGGTGTCTGAGAGACCGAGCTCTAACTCTGTTTGCCCAAACATTCTTGTCCTGGCTCTTAGATCCCTCTTACCTGGCCTCCCTGGTCATCTCGTCAATTCTTTCCCCCACCAAAGATTTATTTATGTATTTCAAAGGCAGAGTGACAGATAGATGAACTTTTTTAAAAAAGATTTATTTATTCACTTGAAAAGTGGAGTTACAGAGAGGGAGAGGCAGAGACAGACAGGGAGAGAGAGGTCTTCCATCTACTGGCTCACTCCCTAAGTGGCCACGATGGCTGGAACTGAGCCAGTTTGGAGCCAGGAGCTTCTTCCAGGTCTCCCATGTGGGTGCAGAGGCCCAAGAACTTGGGTCATTGTCCGCTGCTTCCAAGGCGCATTAGCAGGGAGCTGGATCAGAAGTGGAGCAGCCGGGTCTCAATCCAGTGCCCGTGTGGGATGCTGGTGCTGCAGGTGGCAACTTGACATGCTATGCCACAGAAATGGCCCTCAGAAACATTTTTAGAAGAATAGTAAAGGGGCCGGAGGTACGGCTAACTCCTGGTTTCTCTCCTTGACAAAGCATGGTCTTTCCTTTGAAGATTTGGCTTTTCCTTTTAGTTAGCAGTTTAGAGACGCAGGTGAGACTTCGATCCACCATGTCTTGCAGCTCCATAACAGACGAAGCTGGGATACTGGAAGCCAGCAATTTCCCCTCTTCTCTTCCCTTCCTTTCCCTTCGCCCCTCGTCCTTCTTCCATCATCACACCGTGCAGAGCAGCGCATACAGTCACCTCCATCTGCCTAAGCATCTGAGGGAATTTTACAGATCTTGCAGCTACGCAATCCTTCAGCACTTCGCAGAGAGCACTCCAGCAAGGCACTCTGTAGAATGGGGAATTTGTCTTAGAGTGCTTGAGACAATTGCAGCCTATCCTGAAGACAGTCACGCTTAGTGCCTCACCCCTTCCTTATGCCAAGTGTTAGTCTCGCCCTTCCCTCCTGCCACTCCCCTCCCCTTCTCTTATTGCCACTCTCCCCCTGCCATGTACCTGGGCATTTTTGTGGGTTTTTGGGTCAGTTGTAGTTATGAGACTATTTAATAACCAGTACTATAGCCGGCGCCGCGGCTCACTAGGCTAATCCTCTGCCTTGCGGCGCCAGCACCCTGGGTTCTAGTCCCGGTCGGGGCGCAGGATTCTGTCCCGGTTGACCCTCTTCCAGGCCAGCTCTCTGCTGTGGCCAGGGAGTGCAGTGGAGGATGGCCCAAGTGCTTGGGCCCTGCACCCCGTGGGAGACCAGGAGAAGCACCTGGCTCCTGCCTTCGGATCAGCGCGGTGCGCCAGCCGCAGCGTGCCAGCTGTGGCAGCCATTGGAGGGTGAACCAACGGCAAAGGAAGACCTTTCTCTCTGTCTCTCTGTCTCACTGTCCACTCTGCCTGTCAAAAATAAAAAATAAAAAAATAAAAAATAATAATAACCAGTACTATAGGACTTACACACCCAACAGGTTTAATTGACTTTGGTTTAAAATGCTTTAGGAAGTAAGTTCCGATCCGAGGACTCCCAGAAGAAGAAATTCCAGAGCTGTCAGTGGCACGGAGAGTTTGTTGGTATCCCCAACCCCAAAAGCCCCAGATGTGCTCGCTCATTCTTCAGAGAGATTTCAGGCTTCCAAAAGGTACTTGGTGGGGGGGGAGGGGTACTGTTTCAAATAGCAAAAGTGTCCTGTTTTAAGCCAACTATAATATAATGTTTATAGTGGGCTTGAAGGAATGTAGACTGAGTGGCTGGCATGTGTTTACAACCTTATATGAAGACCTTGTGCAAACTCTGAGAAGGCTCAACTCCTTTTTTTTTTTTTTTTTTAAGATTTATTTATTTATTTGAAAGAGTTACACAGAGAGAGGCAGCGGCAGAGAGAGAGAGAGAGAGAGAGAGAGAGAGGGGTCTTCCATCCAATGGTTCACTCCCTAATTGGCCAGAACGGCTGGAGCAGCCCCGATCCGGAGCCAGGAGCCAGGAGCTTCTTCCGATCTCCTACACGAGTGCAGGGGCCCAAGGGCTTGGGCCATCTTCTACTGCTTTCCCAGGCCATAGCAGAGAGCTGGATTGGAAGTGGAGCAGCCAGGTCTCGAACTGGCACCCATATGGGATGCCAGAGCTTAAGGCCAGGGCATTAACCTGCTGAGCCACAGCGCCGGCCCCTCAACTCATCTCAATATACTCCAGTCTGCAAAGAGAAGCCAGCAGTTCCTAACTTTACCTCTCTCCCTTTCCTCTTTCTCTTCCCTTCCTTCTTTCTTCCTCTCTGCATATTTTCCAAACTCCAAACATGGCAGAGCACAAGGAAGAAGAGTTACAAGTCTCTACAGATCTCCCATAGCTATCTTGAGAAGCACAGAACTGTCCTCCCTAGTCTAACAAAGGTTTTGTCTATTATATGATAGTAGAATGGTGAGTTGGCAGAAAGTCATGGTCTCTACAGAGATACATCTGTAAATCAGGGGTGACCTATTATGTCTTGATCTCTTTTAGAAAGAGATATTTGTATTCCGGAGTAATTCTGAGTATCTTATTGGGGCATACCAATGACATTTTAATTTAATTCTGACAAGCTTAGAATGAAAAATAATAACAGGGGCCAGCACTGTGGTGCAGCGGGTTAAAGCCCTGGCCTGAAGCGCCAGCATCCCATATGGGAGCTGGTTCAAGTCCCAGCTGCTCCACTTCCTATCCAGCTCTCTGCTATGGCCTGGGAAAGCAGTGGAAGATGGCCCAAGTGCTTGGGCCCCTGCACCCACATGGGAGACCCAGAAGAAGCTCCTCACTCCTGGCATCAGATCAGCTCAGCTCTGGCCGTTGCGGCCATCTGGGGAGTGAACCAGTGGATGGAAGACCTCTCTCTCTGTCTCTACCTGTCTCTGTAATTCTGTCTTTCAAATAAATAAAATAAATCTTTAAAAAAAAAAAGAAAAATAATAACAGATAAAGGAACTCTGGATGCCATCAGGAGCAGATGCTTAGCCTCACTGTTAACACACTGGTGAAGATGCCCACATCCCCCAGATCTGGCTCCTGACTCCAGCTTCCTGCTAATTCAGTCTCTAGGAGGCAACAGGGATGGCTCAAGTAACTGGATTCCTGCCACCCACGGGGGAGACCTAGACCAAGTTCCCATCTATAATCAGGCCCAGGCCTGGCCATTGCAGGTATTTGGGGGGGGTGGGCCCAGCACTATGGCACAGCAGCATAAGCCCACCACTTGCGATGCAGGCATCCTGTATCGGAGTGCCAGTTCCAGTCCTGGCTGCTCAGCTTCACTGATTCAGTTTCCTGCTAATGCTGCCGGTAACACAATGGAAGATGGTTCACATGCTGGTCCCCTGCCAGCCATGTGAGAGGACTGGCCCAGCCCTGGCCATTGCAGACATTTGGGGAGTGAGCCAGCAGATGGAAGATCTACCCTCCCCTCTTTACCCTCCCTGCCTCTCCCCATCCTCCCCACCCCCATCTGTCTCTCTGCTTTCCAAATCAGTTGATTGATCAATCAAAAAAAATTTGGGAAATGAGCCAGTGGATGGGATCTCTTTTTCTCTCCCTGTATCTCTCAAATAAAATAATTTTTAAAAAAAGATGCCTTGAATCTGACACATGGCCAGGGCTCAAGTGCCTTCCATCCACTTTCCCCCTTTGAGGGTGAACGATTGAAGACCAGTGTGCCTAGGTGAGAGTGGCCTCGTGAGCCCGTTTCAGTCTCGGCCTGGGTACAGCTAGTGGCAGGAGGGTACACTGGGCCAGGCCATGATGTCTGGGACTAACAAGGGACTGCTGATGTATTTGAGGCACATGGGGGCATCCCCGAGGAAGATGGTGGCACATTACCATCCCTGGTGAATAATCAGAAATGCTTGAAGCAGGTGAGAGCCGTGGAGACAGGGTCACCGCCCTCCTGCCGCGGCGCCCAGCTCGGCAGCCAGCCTCGTGTCGCTGTCCACTGACTTGGGCTCAGGTGCTCTGTTCTCTCGGCAGAGCTGCGGAGGCCTTCGTGTCGATTCAGCTGGAAAAGGCGGGGCTGCGGGACCTGATGCTGAATGACTTCCTCCTCAGGAAACAGGCCCTGGCCAACAGGATGGAGAGCCCCGTGAGTGTGCAAGGGGAGGAGCTCCCCAAGCCATGGTCATCTTCTGCATTGGAGCAAATGAAACTTCCTCTGTTGCTTTCAACTTCTTTGTATGATGCCATTAAAAACGCACTGTAGAGAACGGGAAACAAAGAAGTGCAAGAAGGAAAGAGAGGGGCAGGCACTTAGCACAGCTGCTGAGACGCTGCCGGGGACACCCACATCCCGTCTTGGAATGCGTGGCTGCGAGCTCTGGCTCCGCTCCCAATTCTAGCTTCCTGCTAATGCGCACCCTGGGATGCCACGGATGATGGCTCAAATACGTGGGTCCCTGCCACCCTCACGGAAAACTTGGACCGAGTTCTGGGCTCCTGGCTTCAGCCTGGTCCCGTTCTGGCTGTTGCAGGCATTTAAGGAGTGAAGCAGCATATCGGAGATCTCTCTCTGTCTCTCTGCCTTTCAAATAGTGGTAAAATAAACAAAGAGAAAAAATTTTAAAACAGATAGAAAGGAATCAGTGCAAGCAGATGACAATCACAGTCAAGTTTTCAAAAATGCATGCATTTTTCCAAGACCACTTTCTAAATGAGAAAGTTTTAGCAGCTGCCCACTCCTCGGTGGACCCATGGGGGCTCAGGTGACTTAGGCAAGGTGAACACCTTCCTGTCTGGTTACCTGCTACCTTGCGTTTTCAGAAGCTCCCACCACGTTACTGTTTCAGCCTAGTCTGTTGCAAAATCCTTCAGGATTATCTAACACCTATCAGATCAGAAAGAGCGCAGGCAGCACAGTTATCAGTTATCAGTTGTGTTGGTTAGAGTTATCAGTTAGTTCTAGTCATCAGTTGTGTTAGAGTTATTGGTTCTAGTCATCCGTTATGACAGGGTCAGGGATTTTAGCCTATTTTACTTTTTAAAGATTTATTTATTTATTTGAAAGGCAGAGAGACAGAAGGAGAGACAGAGAGGTAAGTTAGCCTGTAACTGCTGGCAGAAGAAAACGACTCCGAAGTCACAGAGGAAGAATGTAATTACTCACCGCAGAGCAGGCAGCGTGAGTTGCATGATTGTGCCAGTTCCTCTGTGTACCCTGTTCCCTGGGGACGAATGGAGGAGGCTACAGGCACGTGACAGTAGAGACACACCAAGCTTGGGGAACCCGCCTCTTTTATAGCAAGCCTGCCCTTTTCCCGAGAGGGAGACATTACCCTGTCCCTCAAGATTGTTCTCGGGAAACACAACCCCGAGCAGTAGTCAGGACCTTGCATTTTGGGCATGCTCAGAAAGATGGCAGAGCCGCAACAAAAGACTGTCTCCAAATGTACCCCCTGAAAGAATGTCTCAGTTCTGTGGGTTGTTCCTGCTTAAACTTTGCTGTAAGTTTGTACCTGTGTATTAGGGTGGCTACATTCTGCTAGTCAACTACTCCATAGAAGCGCGGTCATTCTCCTTTATCACAGGATGAAATTGGAAAAGTCAAGAGGGACGTGATAACCGAATATTGTCAGAAGTAAGTATATTACACCTGAATAACACACGCTGATTTCTCTGACCCGGATGGCGATGGATGACCAACAATGTTACACAGAAGTCAGATAGTCAGGTGGTCGGGGTTTAAGCAGAGCACTGTCCTGCTGGACAGAACCAAGTGTCCCCTAACACACAGAGGAGCATCAGCTGTGTAGGACAAGAAGCACCTGGGAGAGGTGGGTGCCTCTGCCTTCAGGTGGTGCCCACCTGCCCCGCCCGGACGTTGCTTCTGGACAGAAAAGTCCTCCGGGGAGGTAGATGCTGGGAGTCCTGGGCCGGGTGGGACCCGTGGATCCTCCGCAGGTTCATCGTGCTTTGTGCTGACTTTAGGTTTAACCGCCGCATGTGTCACCACGCTCTCCGGGGCCAGATCGTGGCCTACTACAGCAGCCTGAGGGCGCTGCTGGAAGACTTCCCCACCATCAGGGATACCTTTTTCATGGTGGGCCGAGCACAGGAAAAGAAGGGGCCGAGGGACCCCGAGGAGGGCCTCCAGGCCGACCCCAGGTGTGTAACTCCTTCCCAGCCCCTCCCTCCCCTTGGGGAGGGGCATGTTAAGTTGCCATGGAAATCCTTGCCCCCTTTTCTGCACCGCACCTTGGTCTTCTGGTCTAGAAGGAAAAAGCAAGTGCCAACGCGCCAGCCATAAGAGTATCTTCTTACTGGAACTCAGAAAACATTCTTTGTGTAGGGGGCTGTTGGACTGTTTTGCTAACCTGTGCTTCGTTTTCCCTGGGGAGCCCAGAGGTTTCATCAGTCCCAGCCTTTTACATAAGCCAGCATATGAAATAAACAAATAAATGAGTAAACTTGACCTTGAGCTACTCTAGCTTCAAATCTACTCAATGGAGAAGAAATATTCAGGAAAAAAAAAATGAAAAACTAGTGTCCTGGATAAATCAGCATCTCCTATTTTATCTGATAGGGAAATATATACAGATATAGATATTAAGTGAAAAGAGCAGAGCTGCTTCCATAATTCCTTGCCATTTTTAAAGGACTGATTTATTTAAAGAGGAGAGTCATGGAGACAGAGAGAAAGACCTTCCATCCGTTGGTTCATTCCCCAAATGCCTGCAGTGGCCGAGGCTGTTCCAGGCAGAAGCCAGCAGCCTGGAGCTCCATCGCAGTCACCTACATGGGTGGCAGGGACCCAAGCACTTGGGCCATCTTCTGCTGCTTTCCCAAGCCATAAGCAAAGAGCTGGAAGTGGAACAGCCAGGACATGAACCACTGCCCATATGAGATGCTGCTACACCACAACATGGGATGCGAAGAGGGAGTTTTTAACTCTACCCCAGGATGCCTGGGAGGAGTTCAAAGAGCAGGTGACAGGGAAGTGAGAGTGCATCAAGAAAACGAGGATAACAGAGGCTAGGGGGTGTGAAGACATGAAAGAAATTGCCATCCTCAAGCTCTTGACTGGCAGATAGCTAACTATCAAACTACGGCCAGTTCCACGCCAGTGCTTCCAAGGTGCCCACTTTGTGGAGAGCAGTGCTGAGTTTCGTGAATTCAGCCAGGGCACTCCCCTGGGTAGACTTCAGGATTTACCTACTGGAAGATGCATGTGAGAGAAGAGTGGGCCAGGTCTGTGCCAGAGGATTTTGCTGACGCCGGCTGCCCAGAAAGGCCACGGGGTGTCTTTCTTTCATGCGAGGCATCAAGGCTGGATGAATCCTCTGCGATTTCTTACCTCCATTATTTCATCACTTGCTGGTCAAGTAGAAACCCAACCTGCATTTGGGATCAGACTTGCACAATAGTTTCCAGAAGGTTACCCGTGAGTTCCCTGCCTTTGTGTTTAGGACAAAATGTGTTCAGGATTTTTATTTTTCATGAGCTCAATTGGCAGCAACCAAGAAAGGGAGTCAGAGTGTGAAGAAGTGGGATGTCTCTCTAATTGACAGGTCTTGCTCAGTTCCTTTGTAATTTCTCATAGATGACCATGTGTTTACTCCAGGCTAAGGGAAACATCACTTATGCTGGGCAGAGGGAGGAGGGGGCATCATCCCACAGAACTGGTCTCTGTGCATTAGGGGAGAGTATCCCATCCTCTGGGCAGGTGTGGTGCTTGCAAGTATAACACAGGCTGGCTCTCAGGCCGATTGCCTCAGGGCACAACCTGAAAAACAGTACATGGCAGCATTGGTGCCAAGTGCTGTGCAGTAGAGAAAGAGACAAAAGAGAGGGTCCTTCCCAGGCAAGGAGAAGTAGACAAGTCTTACAAACAGTGTAATAAAGAATAAGATAAAATAACTGTTGAATGGAAGCACCAATAATTGCTTGGGATTAGCTGAAGGACTGGGTAAACGGGGCTATGGATCATGAAAGGCTTCCAGGGTGAGGAGCTGCTTCACCTGGGTCTTGAGTGATGATCCATGTTCCTGGTAGACAAGGGAGAGCCACCGTGCAGAGGCACAGAGCTGTGACACAGCAGGTGGACTTGTGCACAGCTCTTGTCCATGACCTCTGAGAACAGCAACGGGGAGAGAAGGGAGTGAGACCCAGAAGACTGGCGCTTGTCCTGATCACGGAGAGAAGAGGAGCAAGATGGTTATCAGTGACACCATACAGGAAGCTACTATGATTGTCTAGACTGGGGATGGGCAGGGATAAGAGCATCCAGGTATCAGACTTAACGTGGAGCTGAGGGAGCAGGAGTCCAGATATCAACCAGTGCACGGCTTGGGTGGACAAAAAGAGTGCAGTGCCATTATTGTTTAGCAGGTGTGGGGTTTCAGTTTAGGAGAGATGGATGGTGGTGATGGTCACACGGCAACGTGTGTGGACCTAGCACCACTGAAGTATGCACTTACAAGCGGTTAAAATCCCGAGTCTGGCTTACATAGATTTTCCCATGGCAGGTGGGGTGGGAAGGTGGCAGTGCCGTTGGAAGGCAGAGAAGTGGAGGGAGATGATGACGCCCAGCACGGAAGCCTCCGGCCTGAGTTTCTGCCTCCTTCTCCCAGCGAGTCTCAGGGGCCTCTCATTCCCAGTGTTTTCTGTGTGTTCATGGACTTCCACTGCATCACACTCCTGCCACAGTGCCGTGTGTGCCCTGGAAAGCAAGATCCTGGAGCCCAGAGGCTGTCCTCACTTTGTATCCCCTGAGCAGCCCTCTGACTCTGACCCAGATTGAAAAGGAGGGTGTGAAGGGGAGGGGATGGGCCACTAGGAAGTGGAGGGGTTCCAGCCAGGGGCCTTTAGTCATCATCTGCTGGCCGCTTTGGTGTGGGCCTTGGAGGAGGCCTGGGATTATTAAACCAGGACATGGACACGAGAGCTGATGAGAGGAAAGAGAAAGGAGTGTCCCAGGGTGATATAATATGCTCAGGCTGGAAATCATTTATGTGTTGTTGCATCAATTTAATCAGTGTGATTTCCTCCAGCTGTGCTGAACAGTGTGCGTCTGGAAACAGGAAGCTGAGGACTTGGGGGGGATGCAGAATTGGGGCTTTGCCGGGCCCCTAGGTCATGAGTACAAAGAAGCAGCGCACTATAGGTGCTGGAGACAGGGCGCTTCTTGTGCTTGGCTGTGAGATCTGGCCTGGGTAGGGCAGGGAGTGAGGTCAGAGAGGCACTGCCCACTGGAAGGCGACAGCAGAAGGCTGGGTGAGGTCAAGGAGCATATTTTGTGGTGAGGAAAGAGGTTTTCTGGGAGTGAAGGAGTGAAAGAATTGGGGGTGGGGGATACAAGCTGGGGTTGGGAGAGTGAAGACTGCAGAGGTGTGGTGGGTGCAGGGGTGCAGCCCCAGGAGTGGGCTGCTTAAGGGGCTAGAAGTAAAGGGGGGATGGTGAGCAGCTCAGGGAGCTGTCTGGCTGGATAGCTGATGGGCCGTCCACAGAGGGAGGGCTGAGAAGTGGGCTACACTCCCTGCCCGCTCCCTGCACTGGGCACAGAGAGCTTTGTGCTCGGCTAAGGGCTCCTCAGTTGGAGCAGGAGTGGAAAAGGCAGAAAATAATAGTCAAGCACTTAGTAGAAGGTGCTGAGCCCCCAGGGGCAATTGTGTTGGTCCAAGGCCAAGGATTGGGCTCAGTCATGCTGCCAGGGTGCCCTGGCCAGCCGCCAGCCAGCAGATCCATTCGCTCAGATGCAGACCTTGCAACTTTCAAAAACATTATTAGAGAGGCAGAGAGAAAGAAGGAAAGAGAGCATGCGAGCTGTCTACAGCCATTCCACCCTGAGTGAGCCTGATCTCGTCTGATCTCGGAAGCTAAGCAGGGTCGGGCCTGGTTAGTACTTGGATGGGAGAGAGAGTGAGCTTCCGTCCACTGGTTCACTCACCACAAGCTCCTAATGGCTGGAGCTAGGCTAGGCCAAAGCCAGGAGCAAAGAACTCAATATGAGTCTCCCAGATGGGTGATAGGAATCCAGTTACTTGAGCCATCACTGTCCCTCCTAGCACTGGCAGGAAGTTGGAGTGAGGAGTTGAAACTGGGTCTTTTTTTTTTTTTTAAGATTTATTTATTTACTTGAAAGTCAGAGTTACACACAGAGAAGACAGGCAGAGAGAAAGAGAGAGAGGTCTTCCATCCACTTGTTCACTCCCCAGTTGGCCAAAACTGCCAGAGCTGGGCCGATTGGAAGCCAGGAGACAGGTGTTTCTTCTGGGTCTCCCGCATGGGTGCAGGGGCCCAAAGACTCGGACCATCTTCTACTGCTTTCCCAGGCCATAACACAGAGCTGTATCAGAAGTGGAGCAATCAGGACTCGAACTGGCGCCCATATGGGATGCTGACACTGCAGGAAGCGGCTTTACCCACTATGCCACAGCACAGCACCGGCCCCGGAACTGGGTCTTGAACCCAGGCACTCTGATGGGTGATGTGAGTGTCTTAACAGGCATTTGAACTACTGGGCCCAATGCCTGGCCTGCTACTCTTAGTTTTCGATAGTCGGGTTTCTTTTGGATATCATTAAACACTGTGAACTACATAATAGAGATGCGATTGGATTAGGCTGACTTTAGTCTGCCCCAGGACAGGAACAGTCTGACTTTGTGGTTGCAAAGAGAAAGGGAGAAGGAAGAATCTAAAGGCGATGCACCCTGATGTCTGGCCTTGGGGACTGGGGTTGTGGCTCCTCTGCCCCAGGAGAAGCACGGAGGTGAGAGCTCAGTGCTTGACCTTTGTGATTGGGCTGGTGGGAGGCACTGCCAGCCAAGAGGAAGTGAGCTGGAACTCCGGCACCTGGAGGGGCCCAGGCCTGCCCCTGTGGCTTCAGGAGCTGCTGGCAGGTGGATGGAGATTGCGGCCAGGAGAGTGCGTGAGATTACCTGGGACCAGGGTGTAGAGGGGGTGAGCAGGGGTCAGCCCCAGGTGCACTGGGTGGGAGCCTCCACATCTAGTGCACACTTCCTTCTGCTGGTTTGTCTCTGCAAACTCAAGGTGGCACTGGTCTCTGGCCTTTGCACATAACCCTCAATTCCAGGACATCCCCTCATTAGCGTGTGCAAGTACCCAATACTTTTTTTAAAAAAATAATTATTTATTTGATAGGCAGAGTGACAGGGAAGGAGAGAGAGAAAGACATACACACATAGAGAGACTCTTCCATGTGCTAGTTCACTCCCCAAATGGCTGCAATGGCCTGGGCTAGACCAGGCTGAAGCCAGGAGCCTTTGACTCCATCCAGGACTTCCATATGGGTGGCAGGGGCCCAAGTCCACTGCTTTCCCAGGGGCATTAGCAGACAGGTGGCTAGGAAGCAGAGCAGCCAGGACTCCCAGTGTCGCAAGCGGCGGCTTACCCATTGCACAGGAAGGCTGGCCCTAAATCTCCAGTTCTTAACAGATCGGTTGGTGCCAATGCATTGGACAGTGCCACATGCATTCCTAAGGTCCCCTCTACCCTTGCCACTTGGCTCCAGGCAGATGCCAGACATTTTAGCAGAACAATAGCAAACTTTGTACGACAACTCAAAGTTTCTGAAATATTTTTCACACACTTGATACTTTTTCTTTAAAAAAATTATCTATAAAAATGCCCAAGTATTACATGTTAATCAAAAACTTTATTAAAAAGTCCATTTGAATGTAGAATAGTGATGGCTAGAGGCTGAGGATGGGAGAGGTGGAACTAGAGGGAGGTTGGATAATGGGCCCCAAAACACAGTTAAAATGGAGGCCACAAGCTTTGGTGTTGCACACTGGGGTGACTACAGTTCACAATAACCTGTTATAGACTGATCGAGAACTGGAAGAGGGGAGCTGGTAGGCTCCAAACATAAAGAAACAGAAATGCTAATCGCCGGTCTATCCAGTTTCCACCATACACGTGTGCTGAGATATTGCACTGGGGGTCGTCGTCGTGGCACCGGGAGCTAAGCTGCTGCCTGCAAGGCTGGCGTCCCATATCACAGTGCTGGCTCAAGTCCCAGCTGCTTCTGACCCAGCTTCCTGCTAATGCACCTCAGAAAGCAGCAGAAGGTGGCCCGAGTCCATGGGCCCCTGCACCCACGTGGGAGACCCACGTGGAGTTCCGGCATCTGGGTGTCAATCAAGACCAGCCCTGGCTATTGTGATCATTTGGGGAGTGAGCCAAGCAGAAGAAAGATCTCTTAGTCTCTCCCTCTCTCTGTCACTCTGCTTTTCAATAAATAAATAAATCTTTTTAAAAAAAATCTTTTAAAAAGAAATACTGCATGTACCCCACAAAAATGTACATGTATTATAATTAAAAAATTATAATTATTTCTTATTTCAAACCTGTGAATTAGGAATCATTACCCTCACATATGGATGAAAAGACACAAAGAGGGTGATTGTCTAAAGCCACACAGCTGTGGGAAATTGGACTTAAAATCAGGTCCTCTGATGTCAAAGTCCACACCCTGTTCCCTGCACACGTTGCCACTTCCCACACAACAGATGGACACAGCACCTTAGACTTGATGGCATCACATCTGTTCAAGTGGTCTCACGGTGGCTGACCATCTCCTGGAATGGCGCAGGCACCAGCCAGGGCACCGCCTCCCTCCACGGGTATCACAGAAAATTCACAGGCTTCCATTTGCATGAAGATCAAGAGATCTCTTCCTGCCATGTCCATTTTTGGTAAAACTACAACAAAAAGCAAGACATCGATTCAAGTAAAATTCAGGATGATGGTTCCTCTGGGGACCAGGGAGGTGCACCTCGGGTGTCACCCGTGCAGGTGACATTCAATCGCTCAGACAGGCTGGTGGTGGCTGCGCTGGTGAGAAGCTGGTGAGAACCCTCGCACCAGACACACATGGGGTGTGTACTTGCAAATCAGCCTGCCACAGAGACATGGCTGAACTGCTACCCAAGAAAAGGCAAGGGAGCTGCAGGAGGAGGAGGGGAACAGAGAGGAGAAAGAAGGAAAAGAAAGCCAGAGTCTGGAGAACCTGGAAAGAGGTTCTTCTCCTGGAGGAGAGGGAGGGCCTGGGTCTACAGCCTGGGTTCTGGGGCTGGTTGGATGATCACTTATATGCACCCAGTATCGTCTTACGGGAGCCCACTAGGCAAGACCTGTGTGACCTCTGAGGGCCTCAGCTGCAAAACAAAAATCAGTGCAGCCCAAGGGTGTCGGAGGATTAAGGTACACGCCACAGGTAGCACCCAGGACAGCGCCGGCCAGCTCCTTCCTGTCCTGGCTTTTTCCTGTCCCTACCCCCGCACCACCCTCCTCCACACCCAGTCTAAAAGTAGCCCAACCACTCAGATCCCTGGAGTTATTTATACCTAACTCTGGCCACCTGGGAGCCAGCCTGCAAAGGAGACTCCGCTGCCCTTGGCCTTGGCCGCTGAGCCCTGCTGACAGGCTTACACAGTGCACCTTACTCTGCCTCTGACCTGCAGGGAACCGCTGTGTGCTGTGTTTCCTTCCAACTGCAGGAGCTTCCAGCCCCGGCCTCGGTGTTTGCTGTCCCCTGATGGAAAAGTCTTCCTCAACTTGTGGTTCCTGCCCCACCCTTCCGAAGTGCTGGCGATGTTCAGAACTCTGCCAGAAAAGGTCGGTATTTCCCCCAGGTGCCAGAATGGATGCTGGCTGCTTTTGTAGGGCTCACGGTGACGCAGGCATCTGCAGCTGTTTGGATTCATGTCTCGTGTCCACGGAGAATGAGAACGCGGACAAAGGAGGCCAGGCCAAGCTTCCTGAAACAGAGAAAAGGCTCCCGCAGAGCAGCGAGGGGGCAGGCTCCTGGCAGGCAGGCTGGTGAGAGGAGGGGTCTGGCTCTCCCGTCCTTGCTACGGGAAGTTTCACACAAGGATCTTTTAAGCAGGGTATCAGGTGTCCAGTGTCCTCCCCAGCCTGCTGCCCTCCCACCTGTGGCCCTATCTCGCCTTCCTCCCACCTGGCTAGTCTCCTAGCAGGCCTTTACAAGACCTCTCTCTCCACAAAGGCCTTTTTTGTCCCTTACTTTCTACCTCAACCTAACTGCCTCCTGGTTCAGAGATGGTCTCTCTGTCAACCCCCTCCCCCATTTTCCCCCAGGCACCAATAACTAAAATCTTTTCCCAGCTCCTAATACTTCTGCCTGCTTTACTATAGTTTCTCTTGGGCCTCATTATTTCATGAGTTCTGTTTTTCCCTGGTTATTAAGGAACACCGATTCCGGCTTTCTACATCCCCTATTAGTCTTCAATTTCCTCCCAAGCCCTCAGGGAAGCTCCACCCTGATGTCCTGAAGCCAATAAGAGGTTGAGATTCCACGTGTAGGTTATCCAGCTAACTGCTGGGGGTTGTTCTGTGTAGCTGCCTTACCAACAGAGAGTAATATTGGTAACCACAGACCAGAAGAGCGGTGGGCGGGCTTTTGGTACAGTGGCTAATACCCGACTCGGGATGGCGGAATCCCATATCAGAGTGCTTGGTCCAAGTCCTGGCTCCTCTGCTCCCCATCCAGCCCTCCGCTCGCGCACAGCCTGGGAGGCAGCAGGTGATGACTCAAGCAGTTGGGTTCTTGCCACCCACATGAGATCTGGATTGAGTTCCCAGCTCCTTGCTGCAAGCTGGCCCGGCCCTGGTTGTGGCAGGCATTTAGGGAGTGACCAGCAGATGAGAGATCTCTCTTTCTCTCACACTCTCTCTCTTCCTTTCAAATAAAATAAAGATAGCTAATAAAGATTTGTTTAAAGTAGATTTAGAAACACTTTCAAATAAATAAATAAAATTTAAAAAAAAAAGCACAGAACTCTCACCTGGGTCCAGCTGTTGTCCCCTGGTGACCACGGGACATTTGCCTCAGGATTCCCCACAGACGTAAAATCTGCAGAGGCTCAGGTCCCTAGATAAGTCTGCTGATAGCACGTGCACTTCCTCCTGTGTACTGTAAACCATCTCTAGATAATTTATGATGCATGATACGAAGCAAATCCATGTAAGTGGTTGTTACAGTCTGTATTTTAGAGAATAATGACAAAAAAACCTTTATGTGTTCACTATGGATGCAATTTTTTCCCAAATATTTTGGATCTGCAATTGCTTGAATCCATGGACAGGGAACCAGTATGGGGCACCCGCTACACTTGTTAAATAAATTAAAGAGCAATGTGGGGCTCTCCTGATTTTTCCAAGTAGAAATCTGTTTAGCAACCTCAGTTTCTCACCCTTTCTTTCATTGAAAAATTTTCAGTTTTTTTTTTTTAATAGATGAAAAGCTCATTTCTGTATAGTTAGATGATGGCTTTTCGCTTTCCTTCACTTGGGTGTTGATGTTCAAGAACCAGTGTTTGACACGGAGCCGTGTGTTAGTTTCAGCCGTGTTGGTCAGGCACTGTGCTTCTAGGTATCCACTCAGGACAGTGCTGTCTGAGTGTGGGGCCCTGCTGCGACTCCATCTGTGCCACTTGTCATTCACTGATGCTCATACAAGCACAGTTTCATCCGTCCATGGCACCAATGACAGCAAACAAAGGGAAAGGCATTGCTGTAACTCCACCCACCGGAGTTCCTAGTACCTGGTCCATGACTGGTTAGCTATTTTCTTCCTCACATACCAGCCTGTGTACCCTATGAAAATAGTTGCCCAAATATTCTTGCTTAAAGCCCTTGTCTCTGATCAATACTCGCGTATTTCAGTATGCCTGTCAGAAGCTTCCTCAAACGCATTTCCTCTTATTGATTTTTCCCACAGGCAGCGTTCAGAGCCTTACAGCTCACTCTGCGGCTGGTGGCACCTCTGCACGACATTGTGGCCTACCTTCTCAGCTTTGCAAAACTGGGCAATGGCCCAGCATCTTTTGAGTGTCCTCTGAGCCCAAGCGCTTGGAGGGGTGACTGGGGAGGAACGGAGGGCATTGGTGAGTGATTAGAGATCATTAAAATCACCTTCTGTATTCAATGGCAATTCTGTGAAGCCCTTACTAGTTGGAAAGCAGAACTACAATATTTTCTCCCGATAGACGGTGATGAGAAGGGAAGAGGAAAAGTCCCATTGTGTACTGTCTCTGAAATGCATGTTGACCTGATTGGTTCCACGTGTATAGGCTACACACAAAGTATGTTAAGTCAGGAGTCAGGTTTTCATCCTGTGTCTGCCACTTGGTTACTGGGAACTGGGCACTCGACTCTCTGGGTCTCTGGAAATCTGTGCAAACATTCTGGAAGGATGGAGAAGGCCTTGCTGAAGACTGGTTTTCTTTTACTCCCATTTCCTTCCTGGCCTCCCTTCCTCCAAGGTTCGAGCCAGGCCCTCCGTGTTAAGATTGCAACCAGGCTGGGTGTTTAGCACAGAGGTGAGGGCTCCACTTGGGACACCGCATCCTATATGGGAGTGCCTGGGTTCAAGTTCCAGCTCCACTGCTGATTCCAGCTGCTTGCTCGCTCCTGCACACACTGGCAGGCAGCTGGTGACGGCTCAAGTGATTGGGTTCCTGCGCCTATGTACAAGGTTCAGTTGAGTTCCAGGTTCTTAGCTTTGGCCTGGCCCAACCCCAACTGTTGTGGGCATTTGGGGGAATGAACCAGGGTATGGGAGAGCTTTGTCTATCTCAGTGTCTGTCTTTCAAATAACATTTTTAAAAAGATTTGTTAATTGAAAACCAGGGTTACAGAGAGGGACCCAGAGAAAGAGAGAGAGAGAGAGAGAGAACTTCCATTCGCTGGTTCACTCCCCAAATGGCTGCAATGGTCAGAGCTGGACGAGTCCAAAGTCAGGAGCCAGGAGTTTCTTCTGGGTCTCCTTCATGGGTACAGCAGCCCGAGCACTTGGGCCATCCTCCACTGCCTTCCCAGGTGTATTAGAAGGGAGCTGGGTGGGACGTGAGCAGCTGGGACTCAAACAGGCGCTCCGGTGGGATGCGGGCACTGCAGACAGTGTACCTGCTACGCCACAGCATTGGCCCCTCAAATACATTTTAAAATTTTGCATCCAACAACAACTGGAAGAGTCTTGTAGTAAGAATAACTGAGGCTTTTGTTTGATACATCCGGTGCTGATCAGTGAATTCTAACTACCCGATTATAAGATCAAAATAGGATTTTAGTATCCTACAGTGTTGATAAGATACTGCATAATTTTTGTATTTTTGAGTAGTAAGTTGGGTTTATAGGAAGCAGAGAAATTGATTTTGATCATTTGATTCACATCCAAATTATGTCACTAGTCATGTCAATATTCATTAGTAGCGAAATAGTATAACATAGTAGTCAGGGATTTTAAAGAATGAGAAGAGCCTAAGAAATGAGGCCATGGGCCTGTTTAAACCTGCTGATTTAAAACAGATGTGATGTAATCCGAATCTTCACTCTAGCTGGTGCATATAAGAATTGTGGGAGACGCTGGGATGGGTGGCCAATACATTCATACAATAAAGAGTTAAGGGGTCTGTGACCATTCTGCTGTGGGGCAGGACCCTGATGGCCCCTGGGGAAGAAGGTGAAGTCCTGTGTGAGGACAGGCAGCACCGAAGGGGCAGGGCCGGAGCCACCTTGGCAGAGAGCACAGAATTCTTGCTGAGCCATGAGCTCTCCAAACGGTTAGCAAGTATTCTGGAGAAGCTCCCAAAGCAATTGTGCATCCTTTCCTTTGTCTAAGCTGGAGCCCATTAGCAATGGGGCTTCCTCAGACAGTGAGCTAAGACGCTCCTGGGGTGGGCTTCCGACAGGATGTGGAGAGAGGGGCACAGCCCAGGAATAGCACCTTGCTTTCCTTTGGGATCAGAAAGCAGGTGCTGCACGGAGGTGAGAGAAGCCCAGAGTGCCAGGGCCCAGCCCTGTTTGCAAACAAAGTCACTGCACAGGAAGTCCTGTAGCAGCTGGGGCAGACAGTGCCCTGGGGCAGAGCTGCGTGGACACATTCTGGGGGCACCTTGAGCAGGTATGGGGACCAGCCAGCTTGGATCACAGGAAACAGGAGGGACAGCCCTGGCAAGACAAAGGTGACAAAGCAGGACTGCAAGGGGTCAGTCTAGAGGTGTGAACCCACCTACCCACCAGTGTGGAGCTGAGGAGCCGTGGGCCACGAGGCCCAACTGCCGAAGACCTAGGATCCAGGAGCAAGGGAATTGGTTCTGGCTAGTTACACGCTGCAAACCTGGAAGCCACAGATATATACTGGGGCCCTGGCTTCTCAGGTGCGTGTCTTGTCCTGGGGCAGGAAAAGCTGTGCTACAGCAGAATGTGCTATTCTGAAAATAGATAAAGAGCGAACTGAACTAAAAAAAAAAAAAAAAAAAAAAAAGCCCAGGGCTTTTGAAAGCTGCTGGGCTGATCCTTCCTGGCCCAGCTCCCAGCCGAGCAGAACACAGGTGAGCAAGGAGACAGGAATCTGTCCCTTTAAGCATCTCAGAGCTCTTTGGAGGCAGATAAAAGGACTTTGGTGGACTTACCTGCTCTGAAGCATTTTGCAGACGGAGACTCGGGATTTCAGCTTTTGATCCTGCCCCCCCGTTGATTGACGGCAGCAGCTCTTAGCCGTGGCCTGAGCTCTGGGGGCCCCACCTAGCCAGCGACCCCCTTTCGAGTCAGTGGGTGTGAGTAGATGATGTCATCAGAATGCAGGCGCTGGCCTTGTGATTTTCTTAGAAAAGATTAGGAAGCCGATCAAAGCCCAAGTCCTGTGCACAGAACTAAGCATTTCGGAAACTCACCAGACAAACGAGAAGCAAACCACAGCCTCTAGGGCCGGTGCTGTGGCACAGTGGGTAAAGTCACTGCCTGCAGTGCCAGCATCCCATATGGGCAATGGTTTGAATCCAAACTGCTCCACTTCTGACCCAGCTCTCTGCTGTGGCCTGGGAAAGCAGCCAAGGATGGCCCAAGTACTTGGGCCCTCTACCCATGTGGAAGACCCAGAAGAAGCTCCTGGCTCTTTGGACCAGCCCAGCTCTGGCCATTACAGCCATTTGGGGAGTGAACCAGCAGAGAGAAGACCTAGCTCCCTCTTTCTCTCTCTCTGTAAACTCTGCCTTTCAAAAATAAATAAATCTTCTAAAAATCAAAATAAAAAAGCACATGGGTTCTGACCTCACATCTGACCACAGCTGCTGTCAGTGCTGTTTATCTCTCTCTCTCTCTCTCTGACTTCCCAGACAGGACCCTGAGAAGGTGTGAGAAAAGGGCCCTTTCCTGACATTTCCTGGCCCCAGGGCCTGCCCCACCGCCCCAAACCCTGACCCCCGCCAGCACCACCTTAGCTGGCTCCTCCTCATCCTCGCAGATGGGAGGATGCTGGCCCTGCCCGAGCCGGCCCCCTCCCCTCCCACGGGGCATCAAGGCTGCACAAAAAAAAAAAAAGGAAAACCCAACAAGGCAGGGTTGCCCCAACCTCCGCCTCCGTGTTAATGGTCGATTGAAGCCCACCCATAGCTATTTTGCCGGGAACTGAGCATATGCAAAAGTGTACGAGCAGCACTATGTCAACAGCAGAAACACCAGAAAGAGAAAAATCACCTCGATCCCCCCAGTCGAGTGCAGAAATATTTGTGTCCCTCTGTACTCCCCTCTAGCCCTTGCCCAAATGCATCTCACACTCAGACTTTACAGAGCTCTAGTCGGCGACTGTGCGATTTCATATTCTCCTTGTCTCAGTGTCATTGCACCAGCATCCCGTATCAGAGCACCAGCTCAAGTCCCGGCTGCTCTGCTTCTGACCCAGCTCCCTGCTAATGCGCCGGGGAAGGCAGCCAAGGATGGTCCAAGTGCTTGGTCTCCTGCAACCCACATGGGAGACCCGGATGGAGTTCCAGCCTCCTGGCTTCCAGCTGGCCCAGCCCCAGCCTTTAAACACATCTGGGCATCTGGGGAGTGAACCAGCAGATGGAAGATCTCCTCCCTCTGTCTATCCCTTTCATTCTCTCTGTCACTCTGCTTTTCAAATAAATAAATAAATCTAAAAGATAAATAAATAACCAAAAAGCATTTCTCTGTGGTTGCTGCTTAGCCTCGTGGAGCACATTGCTCATAGACCAACCATGAGGCCTTGGGAACGAGGCCCACTGACCACCACCACCAGGAAAGTTCTTGTCCACTTTGCTCTAATGCCATGCCTCTTCAGGTGACATTTTTCACGCAGCCTAGTAAGATCACCAGATTTTAGAGGAGTCATAAAAAGGTCTGATGATTGGATCCAGTTTGTAGGGGAGGGGGACTGGCACAAAAAGCACTTCTTGTGTTGTAAAACATTGGACGTGGTAAAACCTCAACTGGATACAAAACCTGGACTGTCCCATCTTCCTCTAAAGTCCAGGGAACGTGCTGCAAGTATGGTGGCCGTTCTTAGCATGGCTGTGTCCTGACCAAGGTCCCAGGGCAGCTTGCCCGCTCCCACCATCCTCGAGTGCAAACAGAGGAGCACCACACATTGATAAAATTTGACGGTCCCTTGTTGCTGGCAGTGGAGAGCGGGCTCATGCCCTAAAGGACTCTCAACCCCAAAGTTCAAAGCAACAGGGTTTATAAAGGCAAAAACCACAGAGAGGGGAGGGCGAATATGTGGTTACTAGGGTCAGGCTGACCTAGGGCCTATGCGAAACTAATACCAATTACAATCTTGACAATAGACAAATTACAATCTTAACATCAACCAGGAGCAGCCAATCTTTTTTTTTTTTTTTCCTTCTTGACAGAGCGGAGTTAGACAGTGAGAAAGAGAGAGACAGAGAGAAAGGTCTTCCTTTTTCCGTTGGTTCACCCCCCAAATGGCCGCCATGGCCGGCGCACCTGTGCCCATCTGAAGCCAGGAGCCAGGCACTTCCTCCCAGTCTCCCATGTGGGTGCAGGGCCCAAGGACTTGGGCCATCCTCCACTGCCTTCCCGGGCCACAGCAGAGAGCTGGTCTGGAAGAGGAGCAGCCGGGACTAGAACCCGGGGTGCCGGCACTGCAGACGGAGGATTAGCCTAGTGAGCCATGGCGCCGGCCCAACAGCCAGTCTGTTTTAAGCTTGAGCGATCATGCTAGGGAGTTTCTGTGTTCCGCCAAGTGGGATGCAGTGTGCTGTTAGATCATATCTTCAGACCAGAGTCTCACGATGGGGGGTGCTTTCTCAAGATGGAGTCTTGGGTGCTCTAAACTAGGGTCCCTCTTTGTCAGGGGGTCCCTTCACTAGCCAATGAGTGCGGGAGGAGGCCCAGGGCCTGGCCAGGTAGGGCACAGAGAAGGCTGCTTGGGGCTGGAGGGGCTGTTGAGACAGAGAACTCCCGAAATGCCCCGTGGGTCTCCTGGCCCACTCCTGCCTTGGGTACGGTCCTGCTCCCCAGAACAGGGCAGTCCTCTAAGCACAGAAAGTCACTGCTATGCTCCTGGGGGTTCCCAGGGATTCAGCCCAGCCGACATTCTGGTGGCTTGGTTAGCGCGTCCCCCTCGGTATTCCCTAAGGACACACTGTGTTCTCCCACTGTGATCAGCTCCTTCCATGGGCCAGTAACAGGCACAAAGTCCCGATGCCTCAACCCACCAGGGGGTGCCTCCGAAGGCCTCTAGGGAAACGTCTGTCTAAAACTTGCACAGAGGCCGATGTTTGGTGCAGCCAGTGAGATGCTGCTAGGGATGCCCGCATCCCATATCCAGATGTCTGAGTTCAAGTGCCAGCTCTGGCTTCCAATTGCAGCTCCTGCTAATGTGCACCTGGGAGGTGGCAGGTGTTGGCTTAAGTTGATGGGTCCCAGGCACCCCCAGGGGACACCCAGGAGACTGAGTTCCTGGCTCCTGGCTTCAGGAGAATGGGGAATGAACCAGCAGATGGAAGGCTGTGTGTGTGTGTGTGTGTGTGTGTGCCTGCCTTTCAAATAAGTAAATATAAAAAAAACAAAGTGTATAAATACACACAGCCTATTTTTATATGCAGTGTGGATCCAAAGCCAAAGCGAGGCCTCCCAGATACCCCTGAAACGATCCTTCTGGAAGGCTGTGTCTGTGAATGTACGCACTTCTGTGCAGATGTCTCCACGAGTATCACACACAGAGTGCTTTTCCTTCCAGCTGTCCTTGCGTGATCTTGAACCTCCCTCAGTCCACGAGCTGGCGATGGGAGGCAGGCACGAGTGCTGGTCATCACGTATGGCCAAGTCCCTAACGGCTGTCCTGAGGATGGCACTTCCCTGTCCTTGTTTCCATTTTTCATTCTGTCTCGAGACTGTGTCCTTGTCAAGTTTAAAACTCTCCTTCAAAGGCACGCTTTTATTGTGCTGAAAGCAAAGTAGGTTTCTATCTTCCCCAGAGAGGAAGGAAGGGGAGATAAATCACACCGCATGTTCTAGAGCAGAGGGCTTTGCTGGTCTTGCGAAACCTAGAGTTGGCACAACCACAGACAGAGAAAGGGAAGTCCGTGTAGGCAACAGGGCAGCTTCGGAGGGCAGGGATGGTGTGGGGTTAGCTAGAGTTGTGTGTAATGCACACTGTGACTAAAACGCTGCCCCTCCCATAGGGTCCGAGCTGCGAGAGCTGCAGAAAATGCTTGACAACCTCCAGAGCCCCCGGGACCCCTGCCAGGTTTCCCAGGCCCTGCTCCTCCACAGGGAGATTCTGTTGCTGCAGTTCGACACGGCCGTGAGGCACCGCATCAGGTAAGGGCTGGTGCTGAGCCTGGCTGGTGCATTCTGCCGCACAGGTGTTCGCTGAGCCCCCATCCGGGGAGGCTCCTCTTGGTGACATTAGGAAACAGAGCTTAAAATAGTCAGGGGCATAATGAGACCCAGAACCCTGTGGCTACCGCACGTCACGTGGAGCATGTTCCTGGCAGAGAATTATAGCCTTGATTTTATTCAATGTAATTCCAAAACTGTTGTATAACACCTGCTGCTTTCAATGTTGTTTAATCCAGAGTAATATATGTATACTTCTGAAGATTATTTCTAAGGGCTTTGTTTATTCTCAACTTCTAAAAAACAATTTTCATTGCATTTCTGAAGCTAATGGAACTGGCTATTGGAGTCCAGTTTATAAATAAATCAATCTGTTTCTGCCTTGCTAGGTACCATCATGTTAAGTACTCTGCAAAAAAAAAAAAAAAAAAAGTGCTTCATTTGGCTAATTAGTCATTATTCTGATGGGAGAATTTATTTGGAGTAAGGTTCACAATGTTGGGCTAATGTTGGGGTACAACAGGTTAAGCCACTGCCTGCAACACCGGCATTCCATAAAGGAGCACCGGTTCAAGTCCTGGCTGCTCTGCTTCCAATCCAGCTTCCTGCTTGGGAAAGCAGTGGAGGATGGCTCAAGTGCCTGGGCCCCCGCCACCCATATCAGAGACCCTGATGGAGTTCCAGTTTCCTGGCTTTGGCCTGGCCCAGCCCTGGCTGTTGCAGCCATTTGCGGGGACTGAACCAGGGGATGGATGATCTTTTTCTCTCTCTCTGTCACCCTGCCTTTTAAATCAATAGAACAAACCATTTTTTAAAAATAACTATGTTTCCATTATAAATGAGTTCTGTTTGAGAGGGGAATGACCTCAGGCCTGAAGCTCTGCTTGTTTTGAAAATCCATTCACTTCTTCTGGTTAATTTCAAGTGTATTTCGCTCATGGGTGGAGAACTTTTTTTCTGCCAAGGGCCATGTGGATATTTCTGACATCATTCACAGACCATACCAAAGTATCAACTGAAAAATTAGCCTGCTATCAGTTTACTGAATTTCAAGTCCTGCCTGCAATCGCCTCGCCAGGGCCAGACCAGATGATTTCGTGGGCCTTATACATTCCACGGGCTGGACGAGCCCCACGCCTGACAGCCAATGGAGGCCCTCAGTGGGCTGCACCTGTGCTGTGACGGCCCCTCCCACCACTGGCACTGGGTGTCCAAGGATAATGGAAATATGGTGATTGCACAGATGTGTATTTTTTCTCTTTCTGTTCTGCATTTTCTTTTTTTAAAGGTTTATTTGAAAGGCAGAGTTACAGAGAGGCTGAGGCTGAGGCAGAGAGAGAGAGAGAGAGAGAGAGGTCTCTGTCCACTAGTTCAGCCCCAAGATGGGCTGCAACGGCCAGTGCTGGCCCTTGAAGCCAGGAGCTGTCGCTCCCCCTCTTCGTGGAGGAACAACACAGGACCCTGCGCTGTTCTTTTGTCTGCTCGGCCCTCCCCGGGTTTGCTGCTGGTTCTTCCCGGGTTGGCTACCGTCCCTTCACCTCCGTGGAGGAGCGGGCCCCCTGCCACTTTCCCCACTTCCGCGGGGGAGCGGCACACCGCCGGCCGGCTCTCTCGGGGGCTGCTCAGGTGTTCCTTCAGATAGATGTTCCTGGTGCATGTTGTCTCTCTCCTCCTTTATAGTCCTCTTCCACCAATCCCAACTCTGCTACCCACACGCCGAGTACGCTGCTCTCCTCCAATCAGGAGCAGGTCCTACAGTTTATTGGTTGAACTGGAGGCAGCTGTGTAGAAGCTGTTACTCCCCTTCTCAGTGCCATATTGTGGGAGAGCAGATGCATAGAATAAGTCTTAATTCCAGTAACAGTCTAGTCCGAGTTGCTCCCCACAAGGAGCCAGGAGTTTCTTCTGGGTCTCCCATGCGGGTACAGGGGCCCAAGGACTTGGGCCATCTTCCACTGCTTTCCCAGATGCCTTAGCAGGAAGTGGAGCAGCCGGGACTCACACTGGCACCCATATGGGATGCTGGCACTGCAGGCAGGGGCTTTACTTGCTATGCCACAGCGCAGGCCCCTCTGCGTTTTCTTTACTCTGACCATCATGGGGCTCTTGTTCTTAGAAAGGAAATACAGCAGACCAAACATCATGTGAATTTGTTTCCTCTTTATTGACAAACAGCTTCCTAAGGCGTAGCTGGGGTGGAAAAGCTCTGAGAAATGGTCGGGCTGGCCATTGGTTAGCCCTCTGGGCTCTGAAAACCCGAGGTCAGAATTTGGGAGGAGCTGACAATTGGTGCAGACCTCGGGAGGGCCCCTAGGGGTCCTCTGTGGATCCCAGCATTGCTGCAGCCTCAGGTTTGGTGCTGCCCTCCCAGGGGAAGCACTGGGCTTCCCACCGAGTTGCTTCGCCAGGGCTTCCTCCCCCTGATCTGCAGGGGTGGAGGACACTGTGTCCTAGATCTGCTTGCGGAACACTTTTCAGAGGCCTGCAGAGGGAGCCCCCAGCCGCTCCGCCCGCCTGGGTCCTTTGCTTGCTGCGGTGCCTCGGCCTGTCTTCTCCAGAGGTCTTCAGGTTTTATGTGTTGGGGGTCGCACAGCTGGTCAGTAGCAGAGCGGAACTGGAAGCTAGCTGTGTTTGGCTCCAGAGCCTGAGAAGTGCCATGGCTCTCCAGCACCAGTGTGCATAAGGAAGGGTGGAGGAGAAGAGAGGGCGGAGGCAGAAGAAAAAGAGACACAGAAAGGTGAAGGTCATCCCTCTTGGCCTTGTTACTCAGTACTGAACCTGCAAGCGAAGGGAACTCCTTAGAGGATCAAGAATCAGGAAGTGTGTGGGTGTTGGGTCTGGTGGCTAAGCCATCCCTTAGGACACCCTCTTCCTAGGTCGGAGGGCCTGGCTTCAGCTCCCGGCTCTGGCTCTGAATTCCAGCTTCTTGCTAATGTGCACCCTGGGAGGCAGCGGGCGATGGCTCAAGTAGTTGGGTCTCTGCCACCCTTTGGGGGATGTGGATTGAGTTTCTGCCTCCCAGCTTTGGACCTGCCCAGTTGGAACTATTGCACTTGGGGAGTGAACCAGCATATCGCAGGCCCTTCCCAGAGCTCTCCAAGGTGGAGCCAGGGACTTTGTACAGTGAAAGCTTATCCAGAGGTGGCAGAGAAAGAAGTGAACTCTTACCTGGAATTACAGCAGGAAGCTCCCAAAGCTGGGGCGGCATGGGGAAGAAGGAAGGAGGTGGCTCCAGGACAACAGGACCGCGGCCTGCAGAGTCACCTACAGTCTGGCTCCTGCTTCTCTGAGCCACACATCTGTTCAGGTTGCTAGAGAAATGCAGGTTTCCAGGCACAAAGCGTTTCACTCTGCCCCTGTTGACCTGCTGTGGGCCAGCCCTAGCCAGGGCCTGATGGAAACTGGTGGCTGTCCTCAGACTGGAACTGCACTCCCCAAGCGCCCAGCACTCACCTCTGGCCAGGTACACCAATCTGCAGGAGTTATTTAGCCAATTCAAGAAATGCCTAAGGGTTAAACTTAAGTGGTACTTCAAAGAATATATGGAAGGGGCTGGTGCTGTGGCACTGTAGGTAAAGCCATGGCCTGCAGTGCCAGCATCCCATATGGGTGCCAGTTCGAGTCCTCACTGCTCCACTTCTGATCCAGCTCTCTGCTGTGGCCTGGGAAAGCAGTAGAAGATGGCTCAAGTCCTTGGGCCCCTGCACCCATGTGGGAGACCCAGAAGAAGCTCCTGGCTTCTGGCTTCGTATCAGCACAGCTCCAGCCTTTGCAGCCAACTGGGGAGTGAACCAGTAGATGGAAGACCTCACTCTCTCTTTCTCTCTCTCTCTCTCTCTCTCTCTGCTTTTTCTTCTCTCTCTGCCTTTCCTCTCTCTCTAACTGATTTTCAAATAAATAAATAAATCTTTTTTTAAAAAGTACATGGAAAATGGAATTAAAAGTTAAGTTTATTTTAATGCCAAAAAAATCTTGAAATCCATGCATAGTTTTTACATGATATGCGCTTCTATGAATGTTTTGAAGATCCCACATATCTTTAGTGCCAAGTGAATGCATCATTTGCACTGAAGATGTCAAAGAACATTGTTACAATTTAGTTTAATAATTTTAATTGCATTTTAAAAAATTATTCAATGTATTTGAAAGGCAGAGAGACAGAGAGATCACCCATTTGCTGCCTCATCCCCAAATGCCCACAACATCCAGGGCCAGGCTGGGCCAAAGCCAGGAACCGGGAACTCCATCCAGGTCTCCCGTGCGGGTGACAGGGACCCAAATACTTGAGTCATCACCTACTGCTGCCCCCCAGGGTGCGTGTTAGCAGGAAGATGCAATGAGCAGAGCAGGAACTTTCTCTCTCTCTCTCTCTCTCTCTCTCTCTCTCTCTCTCTCATAAAACTAAAATGAAGAAAATACCACTAATCTGAATGGATTGTTGAAGTTCCAGGTGCTTTGGGTATCGGGGGTACTTGAAGGGACATCCGGGAGCTGTCAGAAGGCCTGGTGGCAAGGCTGAGTTACCAAGAGGTCTCTTAAGAGAGCTTCTGAGTCTTTGAAGTTTGTTTGAATTCATTTTTGTTTTCATGCCACCTAGTTTAAGTGTCTACACACGCAGATATTAAAGCGTGCTCACAGCCAGCTGAGGATCTCTGCAGACACACAGATGGCCTGCCTCACGACTGCGTCTTGAGAAACAGAGAACCAGGCCTGGCCGCCTCAGGGCCACTTTGCAGGTTTTACTGAATCCTTGCTCCCAAGGAGAATGGTAGCACAGGCCCCCACTGCTGAACCAGCTGGCCTGGAGGCGGTGGGGGAGGGGCCCTTTCTCACCCCAGAGGGGACTGGCCCTCTGGGAACCCCTGTCTGCGTACTGATGGTGACACAGCAGGAGTATGGCAGAGTGCTTGGGAGAATTCCAGTATTTTGTGGGCTGCCGGGGAGACCTGACTGTAGGGAGGGCCTGGGAGGTGGCAAGTGTGCCACTGGCCCAAAGCTACCCTTGCTACTCTGGCTGCTCAGAGGGTCTTGGGTGCCCAGGCAAACTCTGCTCTTTAGCCCCTCACTCACAGCAGGCACCGGCCAGCCATCACCAGCTGAGCGTCTGAGTGGGCTGTCACAACCCATGTGGGTCACTTTCAGTATTCCTAAAGGCTTGATGGGAAAGCATACTTGGGAGCCAGCGTTGTAGCACTGTGGATTAAACCACCTCTTGTGATGCCAGCATCCCATGTAGGAGTGCTGGTTCGAGTCCCGACTGCTCCACTTGCAATCAAGCTCCTAGAAAAGCAACAGAAGATGGTCTAAGTGCTTGGGTCCCTGCCACACATGTGGGAGACCTGGATGAAGCTCCAGGTTCTGGGCTTTGGCCTGGCCCAGCCCTGGACATTGTGGCCACTAGGAGATTTAACCAGAGGATGGAAGATATCTGTGTGTGTGTGTGTGTGTGTGTGTGTCTTATTCCTTTCTCTGTAACTCTGTTTTTCAAATAAATAAAACAAATCTTTTTTTAAAAAAAAAACATATTTGCTGAAAAGACCCCAAAAACCCAAAACCGAATAGTCAAGTCCTTTCTTATTTTACTTTTTTTTTTTTTTTTTTTTTGGTTAAACTGAAACTATAAGAACTGCAGGAGATCAGGGAAGCAGGAACTGGCTTTGGTGGAGTTGCCACCATGTGCCAATTCTGTGGTTTTGACAGATGTCAAGGCAGGCCTTGGTTTTAGACCTGATGTCACAGCTTCCTCCCTTCGTCCTTCTCAAAGGTGATGTAGTTCTGGAGGTGATTATAAATCACCCTGGCCGTCAGAGGGGAGCTGCTGTGGGTTAGCAGGTTCACCCCAGGCTTCTTGTGGTTGACCTACCATTCAGCACCCTTCCTGGGCAATCACTGTGGAAGACCAGGCACCCCCAGGTCTTTCTCCCACACCTTCAGGGTCTGCTGGTCTCTGGAGGCCATCTCCTCCCCATCAGTGTTGACATCTGTCCCAGCCATTGCTAATTGCTCTCTTTGTTGTTTGCTGTACATGTGACTTAGGCCACAGCCATAGAGAATCCAGACAATAGGATCCTTCTGTTCTGCAACATCTCCCCCGACCCCCTCCACCCCACAAAATTATCCTCTCTCAACATCTTTTCTTAGGCATCCATTAGAACGAAGCTCTAGAAATAATCTTGCTTGCTAAACTCTCATTTCCTTTTGGGCAAGAAAATCACCCTAATTTATCATGCATACCTTCTTCTCCTTGACTTATGGTATAAATTTAATGCTGTAGTCTTTAGGGTTTGTGGTTCTTGATACGCAAAGCAAAACTTTGTTTAAAACAAAACAAAAATCTTTCTCAAAACCTGAGCTATTTTTTAATTTAAAATTGGTTTTCTATATCAAGAACTGTTGTCTCTGCTGTTGGTCTTGAAACAGTCCTTTCTACAAACAGTGGACATGTTTGTTCTAGAGCTGCAGCAGCACTGTCTAATTCAGTAGTAAGTTAATACTAATTTAAATGAAATAAAGTTTAAAATTCGACCCTCAGTCACAGTAGTGACATCTCAAGGGCTTGAAGCCACAAGTGACCAGTGGCTACCATATTGAACACTGCAGATAAAAATGTTCCTACCACCCCTACCACTAATGGGCCTTGTGGGTCTAGGGTATATCAGCCCCTGAGAATGAAGGGCAGGGTGTAAAGAAAGGGGAGTGGAGGATGATGCGGCTGAGTAAATAACCTGTTAACATCTCAAAAGTGGCGCATTGGGACACAGCTGGTTAAGCTCCTGCGTGCAACACTGGCATTCCATGTGGGAGTGCTGTTTGAGTCCTGGCTGTTCTGCTTCTGATCCAGCTCCCTGCTAATGCACCTGGGAAAACAGTGGAGGATGGCTCAAGTACTTGGGCCCCTGCCACCCATGTGGGAGACCCAAATGAAGTTCCTGGCTTCCGCCTGGCCTAGTCCTGACCATTGCAGCCATTTGGGGAGTGAACCAGTGGATGGGTTATCTCTTTCTCTCTCTCTCTCTCTCTCTCCCTCTATCTCTGTATCTCTGCCTTGCAAATGATATATAGATGCACCTTTAAAAAAAAAGCTTTTTTAAAAGGAAATCTTCCCCTCTCCCCTTTTAAAGATTTATTTTTTTTTATTTTTTATTTTTTTTTGACAGGCAGAGTGGACAGTGAGAGAGAGAGAGAGAGAAAGGTCTTCCTTTGCCGTTGGTTCACCCTCCAATGGCTGTCGCGGTTGGCGCGCTGCAGCCGGCGCACCGCGCTGATCCGATGGCAGGAGCCAGGAGCCAGGTGCTTTTCCTGGTCTCCCATGGGGTGCAGGGCCCAAGCACCTGGGCCATCCTCCACTGCACTCCCTGGCCACAGCAGAGAGCTGGCCTGGAAGAGGGGCAACCGGGACAGAATCCGGCGCCCCAACCGGGACTAGAACCCGGTGTGCCGGCGCCGCTAGGCGGAGGATTAGCCTAGTGAGCCGCGGCGCCGGCTCAAAGATTTATTTTATTTATTGGAAAGACAGAGTTACAGAGAGAGGTAGAAACAGAGAGAGAGAGAGAGAGAGAGATCTTCCATCTGCTGGTTCACTCCCCAAGTGGTTGCAACGGCTGGAGCTGAGCCGATCCGAACCCGGAGCTTCTTCCAGGTCTCCCACGTGGGTGCAGGGGCCCAAGGACTGGGGTCATCCTCTGCTGCATTTCCAGGCACACCAGCAGGGAGCTGGATTGGAAATGGAGCAGCTGGGACTGGAACCGGTGCTCCTATGAGATGCCAGTGCTTCAGGCCAGGGCTTTACCCCACTGCGCCACAGTGCTAGCGCCTTAAAAAAACATTCTTAAAAATGTTATTTTGGTACCATAAATATGAAGCAAATTTTGAGTTTTAGACTCTTAAATAACTACTGTTATTGAAATCCCCCCCCCACTCCATATTTTGATAGAAACACATTTTTGGCAGCTGGAAATGTTCGTGCCTACCAATCCGTCACCGCTGGCATGTGCCATGGGCTGCCACCCCTGAGCAGCTGTCTCACGAAGAGCATATTCGCTTCGCAGCTCGGTGTGCCCCCGCCACTGGATCCACGGAGCCTGCAGGTGTGTGGCAGAGGTATTCTGACGCCTACAAGAGATGCATTGCATGCAGGGGCTTTAGTCCATGGCGTTGACATTTTGCAGGGGTCTCCACACTCAGTTAGGGAAGACTCCCTTCACTCCCGCCGTGGAGCAGCCTGGTCCCCGGTGGGTGGGTGGTGGGGACAGCTCTTATTTCCAGCCAGGGTCCTGTCTGCAAATGCTCAGCAAGCTGACCATGGGACACTTGCTTGTCTGCTCACTGCTGCTAGCAAATCAAGCACTTAATCTTTTCCATTTAAAAGTAATGATGGCAATTACAATGAATGAATTAGGTCAGCAGGGTTGAATAGCCCCGGTTACCACGACATGCACTGTCAAGTGTAAGCCTAGGGACTCTCCCCGGAGAAGGAACAGCGTTGCCGCCTTCCACAATTAGAGTTCAAGGTCCTGGAACATCCTGGCAGCACCAGGTCACGGACTGTATTCAGTAGCTGTTGCTAAAGAACGGATCACCCCTGAAGTTAGCAGGTTTAAACAATAAACGTTCATGCTCTCATATAGTTGCGAGTGAGTGGTTCAGGCTCAAGGTCTCCTGCAAGACTGTGGTCAAAAATGTTGGCCAGGGCCACAGTCATCTTAGGGCTTGACTGGAGGATCTGTGCTTCTACCGCCTGCAGGCTCATCGTGCGGCTCTTGGTTGGAGTCAGAAGACCCACTTCTGTGCTCATGCATGTGCACTTGTCTACAGAGCTTCCTCACAGCATGTCATGGCTTTCCCCTAGGGGAAAAAAAAAAAAAAAACAACCCTCTAGAGAGAGCTCAGAACAGAAGTCACAATCTTTTTATCACGTATTTTCAGCCGTGCCATCCCCTCACTTCTGCCATATTCTCTTCATTAGAACCGTATCACTCTGTCTAGCTCATATGAAGGTGCTAAGGGGACGAGTATCAAAGAATCTGCAGACATCTCTTTAAAGCTACATCTCAAGCCCAGGTCCTCTGACTCCAAAATCTCTAACTTAATGTTCTGATGTTACCCAGCTAAGCCAGCTGGCACCAGCATCAACCCCAAGGCAGCCCCATCTTTAAAAAAAAAAAAAAAAGATTTATTTATTTATTTGAAAGTTAGAGTTACACGGAGAGAGGAGAGGTAGAGGTGGTGAAAGAGGTCTTCCATCACTGGTTCACTCCCCAGTTGGCCACAATGGCCGGAGCTGTGCCAATCCAAAGCCAGGAGCCAGGAGCTTCCTCCAGGTCTCCCACGGTGGTGCAGGGGCCCAGGGACTTGGGCCTTCTTGTACTGCTTTCCCAGGCCACAGCAGAGAGCTAGATCAGAAATGGAACAGCCGGGTCTTGAACAGGCACCCACAGAGGATACCAGCACTGCAGGTGGCAGCTTCACCTGCTGCGCCACAGCACCGGCCCTGCCAGTCCCATCTTTACACGTTCCATAGCTACAGAGTGATTCTTGACCCAAGCTCTGACTGTCCTTGGGACCCAGCATATAGGCCTTGAACTGGAACTATTGCACCTGCTGCCACTATTGCACCTGCTGCCGCTGCCTTTGGGCTTTGCCTTGGATGAGGTTGGTGCTGGTGTTCTAGCTCCTTGCTACCAAAATCAACTCCAGCTCCAGGTCTGGAAGTGTAGAATGGGATCATATAGGCAGGCCCGCCAGATCCAGGGCAGCATATAGTACCACAGAGGATAGGGGGCCAATAGCCTTGGTTATTGGACAGGAACGTGGAGAAGACAGAGGCCCACATGTAGTGAGTCGGGATGTTGTGTGGGTTGGGGCACAGTGGTGGTGGAGGACAACTTTTGAAGTTCCTAATCTAGACAGCATTCAAGTAAGCTTACTCTGGCTGTTTATAAATATGTCCCATCAATGTGACACTGTGGAACTTCTGAACACAGGGCTGACTCCTTACCCAGAAACCTTAAGTGTTCTGAGTGTCACTGTTGCTTTAAAAAGCCTTTACAGCCGGCTCTGCGGCTCAATAGGCTAATCCTCCGCCTGTGGCACCGGCACACCGGGTTCTAGTCCGGGTCGGGGCGCCAGATTCTGTCCCGGTTGCCCCTCTTCCAGGCCAGCTCTCTGCTGTGGCCAGGGAATGCAGTGGAGGATGGCCCAAGTCCTTGGGCCCTGCACCCACATGGGAGACCAGGAGAGGCACCTGGTTCCTGGCTTCGGATCAGCCCGGTGCGCCAGCCACGGTGGCCATTAGAGGGTGAACCAACGGCAAAGGAAGACTTTCTCTCTGTCTCTCTCTCTCACTGTCCACTGCCTGTAAAAAAAAAAAAAAAAAAAAAAAAAAAAAGAGAGAGAGAGAGAGAGAGAATAGAAAAGCCTTTACATATGGGTTGTTACTCTCTCTCCTGTCCTATCTATTAATACTATCCTATAGTATTATTTCCAAATAACAAAGAACTTGTCCAACAGTCGGCTTTGGGCAGTGCCGACCAGACATCCTGTTCCTACACAAAGGTCTGTTGCAAGTGGACATGAGCACGCGCATTTGGTTCTTTAGGCGTCTCTGCTGTTCCCGTGGAGAGCGCTGTTGGAGGACGGAGGACTGTTTCCCGCTATGAGCAGCAGCCCGGACAGCCTGGAGCACGGTATGCAGGTGAGCAGAGAGCTGAATGCAGGCTGCACAGCAGGGGCCCACGGCCACACCCTCCACACCCCTGCCAGTGGTGAGTGGTGTGTCAGCTAGTCAGGGTGTTTGCTGAGGGAGCTGCAGACCTGAGGTCGCACGGTGAGTCATGCCTCTTTCAACAACAGTGTGCGGTCTCAGCCGGTGTGAGTCTTGGTTTCAGCTGTAGCTCCTTGGCAGTAGTGATCCCACTGGCAGGGAGGTCATCCGTCTCCAGTCACCTCGGGCCTCCTGGAGCAACCTCCAGGCCGGCAGCTCAGAGGTGTGTGGCTCCTGACCGTCCACCAGCAGTGGTAGGAAAGGAACGTCTCTCTTTCAAGTTTTATTTATTTAGCTGAAAGAGTGACAAGAGAGAGAGAGAAAGAGAAAGAGAGAGAGAGCGGAATAGATAAATAAATGATAGATCAATTAATCCATCGATCTTCTATCCACTGGTTCACTCCTCAAATGCCCACACAGCTAGAGCTGGACCAAGCCAAAGCCAGGAGCCTGGGACTGCATCTGGGTCTCCCATGTGTGTAGCAGTGGCCCAAGCACTTGGGGCCATCTTATGCTGCTTTCCGGGATCATTAGCGGGGAGCTGGATTGGAGCTGGAGCTACCAGGACTTGAACCGGTGTTCACATGAGATGCCAACATCACGGGTGGTGGCTTAACCTGCCCTGCCTCAATACCAGCTCCTTTAATTCTTTTTGAATTATTAGCTTTCTTTTCTAATTATCATGTGTTTTCCTCTGATTGGTTAAGTAAATATTGTGTTCTTAATTATAAAAATAGAAAGTATAGAAAAATGTCAAGAATGGTGTGAAAATCAACCATAAATTTGCTTCCAAAAATATGGAGGTGGGAATGGGGATAGGACTGGAGTTAGGTTGTTTGTTGTAGCTCAATGATGGGAACTTGTTTGCTTTGGTATATGCTCAAAATTCTCCATAAATAGATAGTTTTTTAAAAAAGATTTATTTATTTATTTGAAAGGCAGAGTTACAGAGAGACAGAGGCAGAGAGTGAGAGAGAAGTCTTCATCCACCAGTTCACTCCCTAGATGGCTGCAATGGCCAGAGCTGAGCTGACCTGAAGCCAGGAGCCAGCAGCTTCTTCTGGGTCTCCCACACAGGTGCAATGGCCCAAGGATTTGGGCCATCTTCTGTAGCTTTTCCAGGCCATAGAAGAGAGCTGACTTGGAAGTGGACTCAAACCAGTGCCCTTATGGGATGCTAGCACTGAGGGTGGCAGCTTTACCTGCTATGCCATGGCACTGGCCCATAAATAGTTTTTTTTTTTTTAAATAGAATTGTTTTAAAAAATCATAGTTCTACCACTAAGAGACAATCAGATCACATTTTGGGTATTGTTTTTTAGTATTTTTTCCTGAGCATGAATATGTTTATGTCTACACATTTATTTACTTTGAAAGAGTTAGAGAGAGACACAGAGAGAGAGAGAGAGAATCTAGCATCCTCTATTCATTCCCCAGTTAGCCACAACAGCCAGCGATGGGCCAGGCCGAAGCCAGGAGTTCCTTCTGAGTCTCCCACATGGGTGCAGGGCTCCAAACACTTGGGCCACCCTCTGCTGCTTTTCCCAGGCCATTAGCAGGTGCTGGATAGGAAGTGGAGCAGCCAGGACTCAAACGAGCACCTATGGGATGTCAGTGTCGTGGGTGGCAGCTCTGCCTGCTAGGCCACAGCACCGTGCACCGTATCTGCACTTTTAAAGGAAAATTGACACCACACTATGAGCTCACTACAGATCTGCCACAAGGGTAGGAAACAGCTCTTCCCCACAGAGCCTGAAGCCTGCCAGGCACAAGAGGGACTTTTGGTGGGAAATGTTATTCTTCCTTTTACGGGTTCTCTGAGAGGAGACAGTGGGGCTTGTGAGCAGTCACTCTGAGTTTGCTCGCCCAGAACCGTGTATAAAGGATGCAGAGAAGTCTTCGAGTGAGCATTGGTGTCGGTTCTTCCAGCTGTGCCTCTGTGGGCTGAGTGACCGTGACCGCAAGGTGGCTCATGGAGAGCTGGTGGCCGTGCAACTGCTCCTGGAAGACGTGCTTCTGCGCAGTGATCCTGTGAGCACAGGGGCTCCCCCTGGACGGCAAGCCACCCCGGACAAAAATCCACAGGTATTCCTGGCTTGGCAAAGTACACAGGTGTTCTTGTCTTAGCTCAAGCAGTGGAGCTACTCAGCCAGGGCTGTGCTGCCCTGAAGGTCATTCCCACTTGGGAGATGCATTAGGGACCTACATTTTCCAAGTGGGTCCCAGGGCTGTGCTACTACCATAGGGGAGCAACAATGAGGCAGGGCTTCCTGTGAGAGCCACACCCAAACGCTTTCTTTCACAAGAAGTCCCAGGACCAGCGGTCTATCCATTTCTTCTCACAAAGATTATGGGAGTCCGGTAAAAGCAGTACTCCAACCAGGTGCTCTCCGTGTGAGTCACACCTTCCCCCTGGCAGTTCAAAGAGCCAGAAGGGAGTCGTAAAGGCCCCAGGTGAGCAGCTCCGGCCTGAGCTGTCCTCGTCACTCAACTAGCCCTGGACGCCCAGGCATGCACTCCCTCCTGTGGGCTTACCCCTCTGAAACTCCCACTTACAATATTTCTATTTATTTATATTATTTTAATATCGCTCGAATTTGCCTGCTTTCTCCATCCTATCTCACCTTCCCCACCACCAGGCTAAACCATCATCCTCCCCCGTAGCTGGGCTCTGATCATAACCTCTGTCGGATTCCATACATTCATTCTTGCCTCCTGCAGTCCGTTCACCAAGGTGATCATTCGCAGTGCAAGGGTAATTATGTCATTTCCTTCCATACAACCCTTCAACGGCTTCCAAATGCCCCAAGAATAAAGTCCAAACCCTAGAACCCTACCTCTTGTCTTGGTCTGTGCCAGTTATATTTCTGTACCCACCTTCTTTCAGTTTCCCAATACCCGCGCTCTCTGCATGCGAGCTGGTTCCTCTGGTGGAGAACTCGCCTCGCCCGCACGCTCTCCCTCTTCCCCCGAGCTGCTCGCGCTTATCCTTTCCATCTCAGCCTTCAGGACTTGTGTTCTGGTCCCCCACCTTTGAGCCAAACTCCTTGCTGATTGCCACAGCGCTCCTGCTGCCCTGGAGTAACAGGCTACCCCAGTAGCCGTGACTTCATCTGGCGAAGGCATTAACCTTCCACCCAGGAATTCTAGAAGGTGGCAGTTCTCCGGCCACCTCAAGGACTTAAGCTCAGGTCTGGGTTGTCAGCAGAACGTTTCCTGCACCCTCGTAAGATCTAAACAGGAGCAAAAATGCTTTTTCCTTGAGGGGCTCTGTCTTCTCCCCAAGGAGGAAACTCTTCTCCAGAGCCTCTCATAGATTTCTCTTTAATTTCGGCTAAAACGGAATCGCCAGTCTACCTTAGGCCACTCAGTGGGAAAAGAAGAGCGATCGCGTGTGCCGCCCAAATTCCACAGCAGATTTTGATGACCCAGCCAGAGGGATCACTCGCAAAACTCAGTGCAGACAAGCAGTGCCAAGTCAAGAAGCATGTTGGGGCCGGCGCCGTGGCTCAATAGGCTAATCCTCCACCTTGCGGCGCCGGCACACCGGGTTCTAGTCCCGGTCGTGGCGCCGGATTCTGTCCCAGTTGCCCCTCTTCCAGGCCAGCTCTCTGCTGTGGCCAGGGAGTACAGTGGAGGATGGCCCAAGTGCTCGGGCCCTGCATCCCATGGGAGACCAGGATAAGTACCTGGCTCCTGCCATCAGATCAGCGCGGTGCGCCGGCCACAGAGCACCGGCCACGGCGGCCATTGGAGGGTGAACCAACGGCAAAGGAAGACCTTTCTCTCTGTCTCTCTCTCTCACTGTCCACTCTGCCTGTCAAAAAAAAAAAAAAAAAGAAGAAGAAGAAGAAGAAGCATGTTGGGGTTTTGGTTCCTCGCTTTGCTGCTTTTTGGCCAATTTCTGATAGAAGACCATCTTTTCCAGACACACTGCCCTCTTCCACCTATTCTTAAACCTGTTCCTTCTCCCATCCTTCATAGCACGTAGGTATTTCTACCTACCTTTCTCTCTCTCTCTCTCTCTCTCTCTCTTTTTTTTTTTTTTTTTTTTTTTTTACAAGTAGAGTTAGACAGAAAGAGAAAGGTCTTCCTTCCCAAATGGCCACTACGGCCGGCACACTACGCCAATCTGAAGCCAGGAGCCAGGTGCTGGTCTCCCATGCTGATGCAGAGCCCAAGCACTTGGGCCATCCTCCACTGCCTTCTCAGGCCACAGCAGAGAGCTGGACTGGAAGGGGAGCAGCCAGGACAGAAATGGCACCCCAACTGGGACTAGGACCCGGGGTGCCGGCGCCGCAGGCGGAGAATTATCCTAGTGAGCCGTGGTGCCGGCCCAAGACTTCTCAATATGAACACGTTAACAAGTAATTTTCTACTAACCTTATTTCTAGTATAATTAGCTTTATTTTATGCTGTGTGTTTCTTTAGAGGTATTTAACCATTCATAAACAACAGGAAGTCCTGCAGTTTATACTGCCCCCGCGAGTTAGGATTCCTGGGTGCCTCGCCCAGCTGTGCCACAACTCCGATTGTCACTCTAGACTTCAGTCCCCAAAATGCCAAAGGGAAGGTGCTGGGCTAGCTCAGGTCCTTTAAAAGTATGTCTCGAGGAGCCCTGGACTCCTCAAGGCATTACAGCGCCCCTTGTACAAAAGGGGCCAGGGATGCGGCCTTGAGGACCCCACCCCACGTCCTGTGCTGGACCTTGGTCTGTCGGATCCTTGGACCCACTGCCTGCAGTTTCGTTTAATGAAAGCATTCGAAGCATGGAGTAAAATTTGGAAATCTACGAACTAGCCAAGCTGCGGGGTGGGGTGGGGGGGTCAGCGGTGTGCAGCTCACTGTCCCCTGGGTCCTGCTTGCCACCTCCTCCTTGGACGTTGACCAACGCTCCGGCAGGCAGCCACACGTTTCTCTGGATATGGTTATAGCAGAACTGGGATCTAATTACACCAGGTTGTTCCTGTTTTAGCCAGGAAGCATGAGTGCCTAAGGCACGGTCCCCTGGATGTTCTCTGAGACCATGCTGGTCTCCTGTGCAGACAGTGCAATCAGCTGAGTGAGTAGATGCAGGTCCCCATTTTGACTGTCACTCACCTGGGGACCCTGCCACTCGAGCCCCTGACTCCTCGAGGGCAGGGACCTGAAACCTCGTTCCCTCCACATCCTCCAGGGCTCATAGCAACCCCTCGGCAAATACTTGTTTAAGGAAAGCATCAATGAACAAACCGCAAGTTGTAAAGCAAAGTTGCCTGTTGAACAATCAATTCAAATTAAGACAGATGTTCTGTGCCCAGTCTAAAAGACAACAGGAATAACAGGAGATAGGAAAAACTTAGATTTCTTATTTTTCACCCATAAGATGGGTAAACTCCCCATGAGAATTTATGTTAGAGCCCTACTCTGATGGGAACCTCAACTCAAGTGTATTGAAGAGCGCTTTTGGAGAATGTAGATCCTGAAGGCTGAGTTTTTAAAATATTGTTTAAGATGCGTATGTATAAATGTATGTTTTCAAAGGCAGACAGAGAAGGGGGAGGCGGAGGGGGAGAAAGAGAGAGACTGCTCTTCTGTCTGCTCCTGCAACTCCCCGAATGGCTGCAAAAGCAGCGTACAGACCAGGCAGAAGCCAGGAGCTGGGAACTGCATGTGCGTCTCCCTCAGAGTAGCTGGGACTTGAACCAGCCTTCTGATAGGAGATGCAAGCGTCTAACACCATTTAACTGGCTGGGCCGCGACACCCTCCCGCAAAGCCTGGATTTTTTCAAAGGTAGATATGACATAGTATGCAAGGAGGAAAGTTTAAAAAATGGAGGGGCCAAGGGGCCTGCGTCGTGGTACGGCAGGTTAGGCCACCTCCTGCAACACGGGCATCTCATAGTGGAGTGCTGGTTCTAGCCCTGGCTGCTCCTCACTCTGATGAGCTCCCTGCTAATGCACCCGGGGAGGCAGCAGAACATGGCCCAGGTACTTGGGTCCCTGGCACCCATGTGGGAGACCCAGAGGGAATCCCTGGCTTCTGGCTTGGGTCTGGCCTGGCTCTGGCTGTTGTGGCCATTTGGGATGGGTGATCTCTCTCTGTGTGTCCACCCCCCTCCACCCCCTACCCCATCACTCTGCCTTTCAAATAAATAAATTTTTTTTTTAAAACAAATGGATCAAGATCCATGCAGAAAGCTGCAACTGAGACACTTCTCTCCTTTGCATGCACTGCCTGTTCAGGATGCGCAACCCCACTCAGCTCTACGTGTGCTGCAGGCCTGTAAACCATCGTTCTGGGGAGAGAATTCATCCTCCTGGACTTGATTTTGCAGGAGCTGCACGTAAAAATTATCCTGTGTCATCCAAGGTCAATAAACATGGACTTCTGCAATGCTTTCAGCCAACTCAGTCCGGAGGAGCAGGATCCAGAAGTCGGTTCCCAAGCAGCACCAAGACCGCCCCGCTGCTGGAGGGCCCACGCGATGTCCTCGCGTCCCTGGCTTTGCTGAGATCGTTTCTGATGGCGTGGAAGCAGCTGGAAGCGCTGAAGGAGCACTGGGGCCAACTCAAGCTGCGAGGCCGGGACGTCGACTCCGTGTCTGCCCACAAACAACTCTCGGAGCTCTACCAGTAAGTGTCGCCCAGGCGGAAACTCTCCCCAGGGAGCAGAACCTCGGGGTTGGCGGATGCAGGCCCCCTTGATCCCGGGCAGGTTTGGCCCATGGATCTTGGTGCGCCCCGCCCCAAGTGCACCCCAGTGGCAATCAGCTTCCTTCTCTGTGGACAGTGCTGTAAGGGGAGAGCCGGGCTGGGTTAACCCAGGGACAGAGCTGGATCCCTTGTGCTGCACTGCCTGTCCTTCACCTGTCCCCAGGAGCTTGTGTGGATGACATGACCCCACAGTGCTGCTCACAGGTCCCCGAACACTGGGTAGAGGGCTGCTGCTGCTGCTGTAGCTCCTCACTCGCTGGGCCCGGTAGACTCAGGTACTGAGTCGGTGAGAGCTTCAGGCATTGCAGCCAGAGGCTGAACACAGCACATGTAGCAGGAGGCCTGGGGTTGGCGGGATGGTGGGCAATCAGCTGCAGGCCTTGGCTGGGGATGACCTGGCTCAGGGGAAGGTCACATGGCTTCTGCCCTGTGCCTGTCCCCAAACTCACCAGCCGGGACCTTACTGAGCTCGGAAGGGTCCCCTCAGACATAGTCAGAATTGTCTGTCTCCTGACGGTGTCCTAGCCAGTGGTCCTGGTGAGTAGGGAATGAGAAGGCGTGGCAATATTTGGAAGGAGGAGGACCCGAATTAGACATTCCAATGGGAGAAGACTTGGAAGTGAATCTTGGCTACCTTGTAGGACTGAGATGTGAGTGTGGGGTGCTGAAGAGGCTGGGGGTCCACCCATGACAGGAAACAGAAAGCCAATGAAAATACCTGTCAGAGCATCAGCAGACAGAAACAACATTGGCTGATCTCTTTCTCTCTTCTTTAATAGGACCGACATTCTGTACCCCAGCATGAAGGCCATAGCTAGGAAGATGGGAAAAGAAGATGAATTTGAGGGACTTACTGTAAATTGTCAGTCAATATTTCCCCCTCAAGGGGCCTCAGAAATGGAAATAAAAACACAGCAGGTATGAGAGAGTTATTTTGAATTTGCCTTTGAAAACTTGATTTCAGGTTTTTTTGTTTGTTTTGTTTTGTTTTGTTTTTGTTTTTGTGTTTTCTTTGTCTAAGAAGTTCCTTGTGAACGTAAGAGCTGCAAATTGCTGAACAGCCTGGGGGAGGGGACTTAGTATTTTAAAGCATGAGGGGCTCCCATTAAGCAAAGAACGAACCCTTCCCATCTCAGCGCTCTAACTTCAGACGTGCATTCTGTCAGTTCTCCTTCAAGTGGGGTGCACCTTCATGAGAAAGATGATAGAAGAAATAATCATTCCCATCATAAGCATAAGGCCCAGGATGTACAGATCCATATTGAAAATAGCTCTTTGTTGCCGGCACCGCAGCTCACTAGGCTAATCCTCCGCCTTGCGGCGCCGGCACACTGGGTTCTAGTCCCGGTTGGGGCACCGGATTGTTTCCTGGTTGCCCCTCTTCCAGGCCAGCTCTCTGCTGTGGCCAGGGAGTGCAGTGGAGGATGGCCCAAGTATTGGGCCCTGCACCCCATGGGAGACCAGGAGAAGCACCTGGCTCCTGCCATCGGATCAGCGCGGTGCACCGGCCACAGCACACCAGCTGCAGCGGCCATTGGAGGGTGAACCAACGGCAAAAGGAAGACCTTTCTCTCTGTCTCTCTCTCTCACTGTCCACTCTGCCTGTCAAATAATAATAATAATAATAATAATAAGCAAATAGCTCCTTGTAACTTTTTCTGAGAATAAGAAAATGCAACGTGTACTCCAGCACATTCGGTATGTGGTGGATGACGTGTGGAGGAGCTGTTTTCCAGTCTTAGCTTTGCCTGATGGGCCCCCTGAGGCTGAGCTCGCTGTGACAGGCAACAGAGCCCTGGCTGTTTGGTTGTCGGTGCACAGAGGGACATTCCTGTGTGACAGGAGAGCTCAGCTCCGACTCCTGCCCCAGGAACAAGGCCATTGCTACCCCTGTGAGCCCAGGCTCCTCGCCAGCACCTGGTTTCCTCCAAAAGGGAAAACTGTGGGCTCTGTAAACACAAGAGGTGGACTCGGGGTTCATGGTCATTGGGACACAGATTTCTCTTGGTTATGTATGGAGTTTTTAATCTTCTTGTAAAATCTTCCTTGGTATCCAAGGGCTTGTCGTGCAATGATAGATCACATAATCCTGGCTACATTTGGAGACCCTAAAAAAAAAGTAACATGAGCTTACTTTGGTCATTGAGAACTTGGCAATTTAGCAGAACTGGGTGATGAAGGTTGCATTTTGTCTGTCAGGACAGGGGCCAGGCAGATGCTGGTCTCCAGACAGGTCATGTACCTCCCAGAAGCATGTAGAAGTCCAAGAAAGGAACCACTCTCTTCCCAGGGGTGGGAACAGGTGAGGGACAGGCCGAGCTCCGAGCCCTTCTGCAGTAAGTGACTGCTGGGGTCCAGGGTGTGAGCTGAACCTGGACCATGACCTCTGACCTGTGCTTGCTCTAGCTCCAGCAGCTTCTGGAAAATGTTGAAATTCACATGATCCAGGAGGTATTAAGAAAAGTGAACAGAGAGATGACACTGGTTTTATCAGAAAAGTCCAGGAAAGAGTGTCCTCTCCCTACAGGTAAGTCAATTATTTTATTATTTCACAAAAGAACATTTATTAGTTTTTTCTCATTTTAAAGGCAATCCACATATCCATATTTATAGGTAAAAAAAGAACCTGCAATGCCCAGAAAATGATAATACCTTTTGCACCTTCACTCAGAGGGAAATACTATTCACATTTTGCTATATTACCTTCGACCTAGCAGGCATTTTTCCCCCCTTTAAATTTATTTGAGAGAAAGAGAGAGAGAGAGAGAGCTCCCATCTGACTGTTCATTCCCCCAAACACCCACAACAACCCCAGGCCAGGAGGCCAAGAGCAGGAGCTGGGAACTCAATCCAAGTCTCCTAGGTGGATGGAACCCAATTATTTGAGCTATCATCATTGTTGCCTCCCAGGGTCTGAATTAGCAGGAAGCCCAGGAACTTCGGCTGAATTTTGAACCCAGGCACGCAGATGTGGGGTACAGGTGTCTTAACCACTAGGCCAATGCCTGCCTCAGTGGTTGGTTTTTTTCTTTGTTTGTTTAGTTAGTTAGTTAATTAATTTATTTGAAAGGCAGAGAGACAGAGAAAGAGAGAACAGGCATTTAAATAGAAAGCAAAGGCTGACATTGTGGTGCAGTGGGTTAAGTCACTGCTTGAGACAGTAGCATTCCCTATTGCAATGCTGGTTTAAGTCCCAGCTGCTCCACTTCCAATCCAGCTCCCTGCCTGTGCACCTGAGAAGGCAGGAGAAGAGGGTCCGAGTACTTAGGCCCCCACCACCCATGTGGGAGACCAGGATGGAGTTCCTGGCACCTGGCTTCAGCCTGACTGAGTCTGGCTGTTGAAGCCATTTGGGGTGTGGACCAACAGATGTAAAATCTCTCTCTCTCTCTCTCTCTCTTACTCTCTCTCTCTCCCCCTCCCATTCTCTCCATTGCTCTGCCTTTCAAATAAAAAATCTTGGGAATATATATTATGAAAAAACTACACATGGGCCGGCACCGCGGCTCACTAGGCTAATCCTCCGCCTTGCAGCGCCGGCACACTGGGTTCTAGTCCCGGTCGGGGCGCCGGATTCTGTCCTGGTTGCCCCTCTTCCAGGCCAGGCCTCTGCTGTGGCCAGGGAGTGCAGTGGAGGATGGCCCAGGTGCTTGGGCCCTGCACCCCATGGGAGACCAGGAAAAGCACCTGGCTCCTGGCTCCTGCCATCGGATCAGCGTGGTGCGCCGGCCGCAGCACACCGGCCGCAGCGCACCGGCCGTGGCGGCCATTGGAGGGTGAACCAACGGCAAAAGGAAGACCTTTCTCTCTGTCTCTCTCTCTCACTGTCCACTCTGCCTGTCAAAAAAAAAAAAAAAAACTACACATGGATTTCGAAAGTTTTGCACCAAAGAAAATGTATCTTGTAATTCCATTTTCCAGGAACTTCTTGAAGTACCCTTGCGTGCTACATATATATGTCAGAATCTCACATAAATATATATCTATTCATTCAGGGTGGGAAGGCCAGCAAAACCATTCCTCTCATTTGAGGTTTCACTCAGGCCTGCCTCCTGTGACCGGTGCCCTTGCACAGGCTACAGAGTCCCACTAGGGCTTAATGTTCTGCGGGCATCCTCTTGAAACTCATGATAATTTAAACAAAGCAGTGTCTGGTAAGTGAAACCCGCTGAGTCCATGGAACGTGCACTGAGGGTTTGCAGGCTTGGCTCACACCCAGTCCCACTGTTTCAGGAAAATGGCAGCAGAAAAATTATTGTTACCTCAGTTCTTTGTCTCACATGGAAGAAGAATTTCCAAGCGGACGGCAAAGAGATTTAAAAGTATTTATTATAGTCAAAGGCCTCCAGCCAGAGTGGCTGGAGGAATAAACCCAAAGGGACTGGTGGCAGTGGATTTTTTAAGTACAATTTCAAAGGAAAAAAAAATTGACAATCAGATTGGCATTCAGTTACCAGGCGGGGACAAAAGCCATCAAAAGACCTCATTTACAAATCTCCATTCTGTCTGGCCTGCTGAGGGTGGGATAGGTAACTTGTTTTCTTTTTATTATTATTATTATTATTATTATTATTTGACAGAATTATAGACAGTGAGAGAGAGAGACAGAGAGAAAGGTCTTCCTTCCATTGGTTCACTCCCCAAATGGCCGCTACAGCCGGAGCTGTGCCGATCCGAAGCCAGGAGCCAGGTGCTTCTCCTGGTCTCCCATGCAGGTGCAGGGCCCAAGTACTTGGACCATCCTCCACTGCCTTCCCGGGCCACAGCAGAGAGCTGGACTGGGAGAGGAGCAACCGGGACTATGGGATGCCAGTGCCACAGGCAGAGGATTAACCCAGTGAGCCACAGTGGCTCAGGAAGAGCTCCCTTGCTATTCTCATGGCAAATTTGGAGACTCTGAAGGAAGGAGGGCTGCCTGTTTGTTCTTGCTAAAGATAAAGCAAAGGAAGTAAATATTTTACACCCCAAATTCCATTGGGATCCCTTATCTATCAACCCATCTGACTCCTCACACCACCCCCTGCTGCCTCCCTACCGCACAGGAGGGGTCCACAGCCACCTGCTCCTCTGCTTTCTGGCCCCCGTGGGCCCCCTGTCCCTCCTCACTCCAGCCCAGCTGAGTACTGGCAGCATGGCCGGGACCCCAGGCGGGCAGCAGCATGGTGTACTCAGTGGATGAGCCTTGTGCACACCCCTGGCTGCCCTGGCTGCCCCAGGACAGAGGTTGCAATGTCCTTGGTATTCCCCTGTCCCTAGTGGATCGGGGTGGTGGTCTCTGAGAAGAGGAGATGTCTGGCTTGTTCCTCCGCCCCTGACCACGGCCCCGTGCCTCAATCTAGCAGCTGGCAGGTCTCAAGCCTTAGTGCCCTGAGTCTTGGGCAGGGCCACTGGGTGCTCGTGAAGGTCTCCCCTGCTCAGGGCGTTGTGTGTGCACCACTAACACAAATAGAAACACCCTGACAGATCTGGAGCAAAAGTGGTGAAGAAAGGATGCAGCTTTGTATTTTCGCACCGGTTGGGGCACTTTTCCCTGTTGTTTGCCCAGTAGGTCCTGCATTTGCCCTTTGTACCAGGCCTCACAGATTATGTGACCGAACTCTAGGAATCCTGGAGGAAAACCCATAACCTTTGAGCTCTGAAGGAGTTGTCAGAACTGACAAAATGCATTGGGTGTTGCAGGTGGACAAAGCCACAGACTGTCATGTTAATGAGTAAGGTGGTCCCCAGGCAGGGCAGAGGGAAGTTGTCATTTGGTCAGTAGCTGGATTCTGGGGACAGGGCTTGGAGGAAAGGTGTGCCGGGAGAGGACAAGCCACTCCCCAGCAGGGCAGCTGGCCGTCCCTGTCACCAGAGAGAAAAGGGTGGCTGGGCTCCAGCAACAGAACGCTGAACAAGATACACAGCACCTGCTGTCTGCGCTGTGTGTGCCGTAGCCAGGCGGCTCCCCTTGGAGACCAGCCTGCACGTCTCAGGGCTGGAGTTCCTGGCTGCGGCTGGGGGAGGAGGTGTCTGTGTTTGTGGCTGTCCCGCCTTGGGCAGAGGGCCTGTCACCTGTGCCTGAAAAGTGCCCTCACTAAGGGCAGTGGGGATCAGGCACAGGGGTGGAGTTGTTAGTGATGTGGTTATGTGGATAGTTCCAGCTTACTTTGGTTATGGTATTCTGGCCACTTCTAAACCCAAGTTTAGATTCTATACTTCGAAGACTTAAAAAAAAAAAAAAAAACAAAACTTCTCCTCTTCTTCTTCTTCTTCTTCTTCTTCTTTTTGTTTTTTTTTTTTTGTTTTGTTTCGTTTTGTTTTTGTTAAAGATGTATTTACTTGTTAGAGAGGCAGAGGTAGAGAGGAAGAGAGAGAGGTCTTCCATCCTCTGGTTCACTCCCCAAATGGCTGCAATGGCCAGAGCTGGGCTGATCTAAAGCCAGGAGCCAGGAGCCTCTTCTGGGTCTCCCACATGGGTGCAGGGGTTCAAGGACTTGGACCATCTTCCGTTGCTTCCCCAGGCACATTAGCAGGAAACTGGATTGGAAGTGGAGCAGCCTGGACTCAAACCGGCACCCATATGGGATGCCACCACTGCTGGTGGTGGCTTTATCTGCTATGCCACAGTGTTGGCTCTAAAACCTATTTCTTTATTTGAAGGGGGCAGAGTGACAGAGAGTAAAAGAGATCTTCTGTCCCCTGGTCCAATCCCCAGATGGCCACAACCAGAACTCCATCTGAGTCTCCCACATGGACGGCAGGAGCTCAAGCACTTGGGCCACCCTCCACTGCTTTCCCAGGCACATTAGCAGGGAGCTGGATCAGAAGCAGAGTAGACGGGCATGCAGGGGTCATTGGCTGTGTTTGTGTTCTTTGGCCCGCCAGGCATGAGTCGGTGGGGAGATCCCTGCTCTACTGAGATCTGCAGTAGGATCTGCCCACTATGCACCACCTGTGCTTTGGGCCTGTTTCTTGCATTTTGTCTTCTTGGGACCTCTGTGGGCTGGGTGCCTTCAGAGAAGGCAAAACACTCTGGAGTCCCCACCCATCACATGTTCACCTTGGCAGCAGGAGGGTGCCGCGGGGGTCGGGGCTGCCCAGCAGGGACTGCCTTTCTGTGCACAGGATCCCCTCTGCGGGTGGGGTTAGCCTGGGGCTGGGGGTTTTCTCAGTGGGAATTAGGAATGAGGGATGTTGAGAGCCTGGAGGCCAGCAGAGCCTCTTGTCCTCCCCCTCCTCAGCTTCTCCTCTTTCCTCTGGCCAGTGCTCGTGTCCACGTTTCTAGCAGCCAAAAAGGACGTCTGGGATCTTCTGTCCCCCAGCTTCCTCCCACCTTGTCTTGGAGACTCATCTTCTCCTGGGGTTTCTGGCTGAGTCTCCAGGTTGCTACGGGGCCTCCAGAGCTGTGGCATCGGTCCCTGGCCCTGGTGTGAGCTGTAGAAGCTGAAGTAAGCTGCCCTGGGAGTTACCCACAGCAGCTCCAGGCACCCTCCTTCAGCCCCAGGGCTTGCACAGAGAGACAGGCTCCATTGCCAGCCTCCATCCTTG